CCTTCTTAACTTTAAAATGCATGTATGTATGTATGTATTTATTTTGCTGCCAGGGGATCGAACTTGGGCCCTTGCACTTATGAGGCAGGCACCTGAACCACTGAGCCAAATTCCCAGCCTAAAATGCTTTTATTAATAGTCTGAATCACCATATATATTTGTATACTGTGGGCTGTTAATCTGTTTGCCTAATCATATATTAGTTGCTTTTTGCTTTTATTTCTTTTTCTTTTGAGACAGGGTCTTGATATGTGGTTCAGGCTGGCCTTAAATTTTGGATTCTTCTAACTCAGCCTTGGGAGTAATTGTATATTTGTTTACCAGAGTATTTTAGTTCTTGTATTGTTATGAAATGTAGGTACACACACACATGCGTACAGTATACTTTTGACTTGAAAAGTTGTTTAGAAATGGTATCTGTGGGTTTTGTTTTCCTCTTTAAATTTTCAAGCAGCTAAAACTTTGCATGATTTTATTAACATTTACTTGTAGGGGCTGGGGATTTAGCTCAATGGTGCTGCTGCCTGCCTTGCAAGCACAAGGTTCCAAGTTCAATAACTGGTACCAAAACAAAACAAAACGAAAAGAGTTTACTTGTAATTTTATTGTTTTTTGGCCAGATAATGTGGTCTTTAGGGAATTTACTGAGATTTTCTTTGTGACTTAATATGTAATTAATTTCTCTAAACATTCCAAGAGTGCTTGAAAAGAAGATAATCTAAGTATATTATAGATTTAATTGTATGCCAAATAATAGATAAATTGTACAATTTTTTTTTTCTTTTTTTTCCTTTCGGTACTGGGGATTGAACTTAGGACCTTGTGCTTGTGAGGCAGGTGCAGCACCACTGAGCTAATTCCTGGCTGATGAGTTGTGCTATTTATGTGAGTTGTTTTTCAAAATGTGGACCATAAGTATTTGTCATAAAATAAATTTCTTGAGTTCTGACCAAGTATGTATGTATGTATATATGTGTGTATATAATTTTAATGCAGTAGAATAGAAAATTATCAAAGTGTATCAGTTATAGTAGCATTTTCTGAAACTTGTTTCAGTCATATCAAACTAAAAATCTGTATATTTGGGATTATAATCTAAAAATATGTCTGTTACAGTGGGTTCTAGTCAAAAATATTTGTAAAACACTGTTCTACATGTTATCTCATGTTGTTTGCCTTACTAAAAACAAGTTATGCTGTATGTGAATGCAGTATTTGAGATTAAGTCCAGGGCCTTACACACAGTAGGTAAGCACTCTCCCACTGAGTTATATTCCTACTCCTTTACCCTTTCTTTCTTTTTTTTTTTTGGTACTGGTGATCAAACTCAGGACCGACCTTGTGCTTTGAGGCAGGAGGTAACACCAATGGGCTAAATCCCCAGCCCCTCCTTTACCCTTTCTTTTGGCTTAAATTTGAAATGTTTTCTCCTTTTACATTTCTTACAGTGATGTGTTAGTAATTGCCCTTCAATCTCATATTAAGTATATTCATTGCTTTTTCTAGTACTTTCACCAGAGTCAGTTTATCTTTAATGAAATACTAAAGGTATTTTCCTGTCTAACTTGTCCTTTAAAAAGGACAAATTTATGATATATTTATGTTAGTACTCAAAAGAACTTCCTCATAAACAAGTTGCTGTGTTACAGGGTTGGACATTGTAGAAGGGTACATGACTAGAATATCAAAAGCGGCAAGTTTTTGTAAGTCAGCCTGCCAGGTATAAAGGTTTGTGTGTTTTTATTCTGCTTTGGGAGATGACCTTTACTTGAAGATCATCAAGTTGGTGTAACTGTGTAAAATTCATAAGCTCCCAGTAGTGATTTATTTTTGAACAAGTCTCATGTTAGGCCACTTCAAAAGACACAATCAGTAGTAGGTTTGAATGCTTATTTTGTTTCATGGTATATGGATGTACAGTGGGTACAAGGGTGCTGGAATTGCATATTGGGATATGACTGTCTCCTCCCCACACAGGAGATTTTATTCAGGAAGGCAGATTAGGGAGAGAGGGAAGAGGGGAGAGAAAGGGGGAGAAGAGAGCGGGATATGATTGTCTTGAGCATGTACCACAAACAAAAAGATGCATGTGTTTACTGTAGAGGTTTCCATTACTTTCTGTAATGAGAAAATGTTATCTTCTGATTTTAAATACCCAACAAGATAGTGAGTTTTTCTCTATGTGAAAGGACAGGCTCTTTTCCCTCCTGTTCATTTAGCATTTTGTTTACTTTCTCATGTCACAAGTTATGCCTTACTGTTACTTGTGTAGATGGGCTTCTAGGCCCCTTTTACTTTGATTAGGGCTAGTTGGACTGGGACTTTTCTTTTGTTCCTCAGTGTCTTGGACCTCCTGGTACCTCCTCATATGTGCCTGCAGAAGGCATTCAGCACATGTCAGGTGTGAATAGCAGCAGATGCCTTTCCTTTGTTATTGCTTATGCGTTTTACCTTCTTTCCTCTGCTTTTATATCTGTGTGTGTGTGTGTGTGTGTGTGTGTGTGTGTGTCCAGGCTCCTTTAAGATACTACTTAAAAATACCAGTTTGCTTCAGTTTAAAGAGCATCTCTATGTCAGGAATATCTTTGTAGCCATTGGCACTTACTTTTATTATTGCTTCTAAAAATGGTCCATATAAATCTAAGTGTTCAGCATTATGTTAATTCTAGATTTTTGACTATACTAGAAAGTTGTTTTATAAACACGCTTTCACTGTATCCCAACAGTTTTTAAAGTGTGTTCCCTAAGATCTTCTTATGGTGTCCACAGGTCAAAACTGTTGTCAGTGAATTAAGACCTTCCCCTTTTAACTGATGGTGAAAAACAGTGGTAGGTAGCCAGGTGGTGGTACATGGCCTGTAGTCTGAGCGGCTGAAGAAACCAGCTGCAGACACTTGTTTCAGATTAGCCTAAAACTATGCTACTAGAGTAGGTAGCATACTGAGGCCACACACATCCCCCAAAGTAGCAGTGGTAGGTAAACCTGCTAGTGCTGTAGCACAAATCAAAGGCAAGACTCTAAATGGTCCTAGTATTCATTGTGCACTTAAAATTAAGTGCCACTTTCATGTAAAATTTCTCAGTGAAGGAATAAAAATTTTATTAAATCTAAACTTGTATGGGGAGGGTGGTACATGCCTGTAATCCCAGCATTAGGGAGGCAGATGCAGGAGGATTGATGAGAGTTCAAGGCCAGCCTGAACTATATGTAGCAAGACCCCCTATCAACCCCTCCAAACACTAGCTAGTAGGTTTCTTATTTAATGTTGTGTGAAATACATAGTATGTAGTACCCTTTATTTCATACACTAGTATAGCCACTATCACAAGGAAAAGCATTTGAGCAATTGCTTTAACATGTTTTTCCAGATCTTTTATTAATGCATAGATAACACAGTTTTGGGTTTAGAGGTCCCTGAAGACCATTGGGCCCATGCAGGGAAGCTTCCTGGGTATAAACTGGGTTACCTGGCTACTTTCTTCCATTGTATTAAAACCTGGATATCCTGTACTTGGGTTAAAATTTAGCTCAGAAAGCAGGCTCTAAGGCAGATCCTCCTCTCCTGTCTTTCCTTTGCTGCCTCCTGCCTTGTGGTATTACAAAGTAATACATAGTTCGGAGTTAATTAAAATGCAGAGGCCGGGATGGTGGCGCACACCTGTAATCCCAGCACTCAGAAGGCTGAGGCAGGAGGATTGCTGTGAGTTTGAGACCACCCTGGGCTACATAGTGAGTTCCAGGTCGGTCTCAACTACATAGTGAGACCCTGTCTCAAAAAAACCAAAAAAATTTTATTTAAAATGCAGAATAGGCCAGTGGGTTTAACGTAACACAATGCTAGACATTTTGTCTTATGGTTTCAGACTGCACATTACAACTAATATTTAGGAAACCGTTGCACCAAGTTTGCATTTAGTATCAAAGAATAGTCACAGTAATTTGCCCAGCATGCTTTTTTTGTTTTTCATAAACTTAATTGAAGTACTTGGTTAATGTTATGTACAAATATGGCTGGTGAGCTTCATAATAATTAATATCATTTTGTAACAGTTAATGTGGGAAATGGGAGCTGGGGATTGATTTAGCTCAGTGATTCTGCAGCCTTGAGGTCCCAAATTCGATCCCCGATACCAAAACAAAACAAAATGAAAACAAAAACAGTTAATGGGAGAGGCTAAGCGTTTTAGGGTATAACACTTTATTTTGTACTTCTGAGGCAGTGTTGCACTATGTATGTAGTTCAGGCTGGCCTTCAACTCGCAGCACTGCTCTTGCATCAGCCTTTGATTACTGGGATTACAAACCTTTGCTGCCAGTCCCAGTTTAGTGTACATACAGTATGGCTGCATCAGTTCCATGTGTGTGCATCTTTTATTGTACGGACTAATAGCTCCAGTTATTTGCATCTGTATTTTTGTTTTGGTTTGTTTTTGTTTTGTTTTGGTTTGTTTTTTGTACCGGCGATCGAACTTGTGTCCTTGCACTTGCAAGGCAAGCAGCAGAACCACTGAGCTAAATCCCTGGCCCTGAATCTGTATTTTACAGGTGAGAATACAAAGGTCCAGAGAAATGAAGAAATAAGACAAGAGCCTAATGTTCTGGACTTGGATGTCCAAGGTGTGCTGAATGTGAACTGAGTGCTAGGAAATAAAAGCACAGAAAGAAAAAGATTACATTGTAAGACACAAGACTGTTTTATAATTTCTACTAAGGTCTTGCTTGTGAAATAAAATCATTTAGTACCAGCATTGATGGACTTTTTTTTTTTTTTAAGTAGTAGGATTTTTTTTTTAATTTTAGAAGGGAAATAATACGTGGAATTACACAGTTATAATTATTAAAAACAAATTTAAGGGCCAGAGAGTTAGCTCAGTGGTTTCACCGCCTGCCTCGTAAGCTCAAGGTCCCAAGTTTTATCCCCAGTACCAAAAAGCAAACTTGGTTTTCTCTTTTTTTTTTAGTAATTCAAAATGCCTTTCTTTTTTTTTTTCTTTTACAGAAGATTCTAGTGTTCCAGAAACTCCAGAGAATGAAAGAAAAGCAAGTATATCATATTTCAAGAATCAGAAAGGAATCCAGTATATTGATTTGTCTTCTGATAGTGAAGATATTTCCCCAAATTGCTCCAGTACAATTCAAGAGAAAAAATTCAACAAAGACACTGTGATCATAGTGTAAGTTGCACAGTATATTTGTTATATTTGCCTTGTAGAAGATCTTTCAAGGAAGAGATTCAATTTGAAATATTTTGATGACTTTTTCCCTTTTCTTTGGCCTTTGTGAGGTACATCTTGGTTACTTTTTCTCTTAACTTGTAGACGAAGTACAAGATGTGTTTGCATTTCTTGGAAAACTAATTTTCAGTAAAAGACTTAATGAGGACAGATATTGTTTGTAACCCTCCCAACAAAGGGATATTATTTTAGCTAGTACCTTTAATCATCTATAACTGCTTATAATTTGTTCTTGAGTGCTTACATGTAATCATCTTAACATATTTATTGGGTGATCAGGGATACAGAAATGAGCAAACTCCAAACCCTTGCCCTTAAATTCTAGTCAAAACAATAAAATTTACAGCATGTCAAAGAATTAAGTGTCATAGGCAGAAGGAGCAGGAAGTAGGAAGTCCAGGATGAGGGCATGCTTTCTGAGGAACATGGTTGGATCCTGGGACAGTACCACTGGGTCACCCTCAGTGAGCTAAGTGGGTTTGTGATGTTTGCAGTCCAGGGTGCACATGGAGATGTAGGAGTCCAGGGAGTGTTGGTTTGATTTTTCAAGCCCTATGGTCATAAGAAATCATGAAGGAACACTAATATAATTGTAGGTCTGAGGCATTCTGGATTTTAGAATCAGGGAAAGGGGAAGAAACTTGTAGAAGATTATAAGAAGGAAAAGCCATCAAGGTGAGAGTCTGTGGTGTTAGAAAGCTAAGCAAAAAAAGTATGAAAGGTCAGATTTGTTTATTGCAGACAGTAAGATGAAGACTTCCTCTTAAATTGAGCATTTTACTCAAAGCCAAGGTAAATGTGCTTCATCCTGAAATTCTCTCTGAAATAGTGAAAGTCTTACTTATGTGGTTCACCCTGAGGAGAATGGCATTATAGTTTCTTTCACATACTGTTTTTTACTTTTCATTGCAAAGAAGTTTTAAATATACAGTGATGTTGTAAACGTAATATCTCCCACAGTCCTTTGAAGAAGTCATTCATTGTTATAATTTCCTGACATTTTATTCTCTTATTCATAAATAATTAGAAATACACTGAACAATTTGTGATATTTTGTGTTTATTTCTGAAGAATAAGGTCATTAATTTACATATAATAATATTTCACATTCAGAACACCAGTTAATTAGTACAATACTAACTCCCTTTTACTAAATTTTCCTAGTAATGTCATTTGTAGCATTGCTACCTAAAAGCACAAATTTATACTTTAGGTAGCTAGAAATGATGATCAGGTTACTGATTAATTCTCTAAGACAGTCTTGAGCAGAGGAAAAAAATGAAATCAGCTCAACTAAGCAATTTTCTTAAAAATACGCTTTGTTTATCTTCCCATTTCTTCCATTGATGTGAACACATGAGCACGAGTAGGGAGACGACTAGCAGTCGGTCCTCAGACCGTGCTGTGAGCAGTACTTCCTAATATTTTCTCAGTAGTGCAAATTGGCTTTAGTTTATCCTACCTCTTTAGTTACATGAAATTTGGAGCAGTTTTTCCGCAGTTGTTTTTGTGTGGGGGAGGGTTTTTTCTCACGGTATTTACCTTTGATATTCAGGGCAGATTTTCTTAGAGGGCTGAAATTGGCTTTATCCAGTGTCTCTTCATGATTAAATTTAGGTTAAATGAATTGAACACTGCATAAATGATTGTGTCCTTCACACTGTGTCATGTTAGGAGCCAACTGATACTCATGTGTTGTGTTATTGGTGAAGTGAGATTTGCCTGATCTGATTTCAGTGGGCCCAGCCAAATTTTTCCTGTGACGTTGCCATTTTCGCTTTTGTGGTAATTAGCATTTGCTGGAGAGGTGCTTTAAGATTGGGTAATAATCCTATTTCCTTTTACTGTAATCATAGTATCTATTGATTCTTGCCCTCTGTTTTGACAGTGGTAGTTGTAGAATGGTGGTATTTTGACTAGTATTCTGGAATTTAGTACTTATTTGGTATTATACTATGAAGAACATTTTCCTTTCTCACGATGTATTCGTGTATATTTTTATGTAGAACAATAAATATCGACATGGAATTGTGAATGTTTATTCTGTGTCGTATAGTCTCTTAACTATCGTTCAGATTGATGCATATTGCTCAGTTTTGTCACAGGAGGGCCCTTTCTAGCAGGCTGTCTGGTGTATCTTTGAGAAATTCCTCTCATTTTTCTTGAGCCTTGCTGTTTCAGCCCAAGAAGTTCCAGATTTGCATTCTATTTACACTAGCCCTGAAATTAGAATCGGCACTTAGCTCTGGTTTCTGGGGAATGATATATATATATTTTTAATGATAGCCTATTTATTTATTTATTTTGTGGTACCAGGGATCAAACTTGGGACCTTGCACTTGTGAGGCAGGAGGCAGAACTACTGAGTTAAATTCCCGGCCCTGGAGAATGTTATTTTTAAATCTGAGTTCTAGATATATTCTTTCCTGGCAAATGGGTGTTGTCCCCCCACTTTTTAAAAAACTATAATATATGAAATATTAACAGGATTCAAAAAATCAAAACCCTACAGAGGAGTCAGGCATGGGCACACACTTACAATCCCTGCTCCTTGGGAGGCTGACTAAAGATGGAGGGCTCCAGGAGAATCAAAGTATAAGACCAGTCTGGCAACTAGACAAGACCTTGTCTCAAGCTAAAAAAGAAAAAGCGCTGGCATGTAGCCCAGTGCTCCTTGGGTTCAGTCTCTAGTACCACCCAACCCTAATGAATAAAAGAAAAAAAGAACTCTACAAAAAAGATACTTAGACCAATATATCCTACTCACTCCTTCTGTCCCTTCTCCCACCCCTTCCCTCCTCAGAACTGACTACTTAGTTTAGCTGCTGCTGCTGCTTTTTTTTTTTTTTTTTTTTTGAGACAGTGTCTCATACAGTTCAGGCTGGTCTTGAACTCACTGTGTAGCCTAGGCTGGCCTTGAACTCCCAGTGATCCTCCTCCCTCAGCCTCCCCAAGTGCAGGGATTACAGGCGTGCTCTACCATGCCTGGCTAAGTTTAGCTTCTTGTTATACTTTGGTTTTCTTTCAAGTATCTTTTTCTCCTTGTTTCTTAACAGAAAAGATGTGTGGATAGTGATTGCCTTTATCCACATCAGATACATTCCCAGGTCCCCAGGGGACACCTGGATTCACTGTGGAGTTTACTCTATGTCCTTTCAAAGCCCAATTTATAAGTTAGGGACAATAAGATATTAACAACAAGAACTAATTTATACAGTCATACTTTGGTGCTCAACTGTTTTTGTTTTTGTTTTTGGTACCGGGGATCAAACTTGGGTCCTTGCCGCTTGCAAGGCAGGCGGTGGAACCATTGAGCTAAATCTCCGGCCCTAGTGCTCAACTGTTTTGAAACTCGTTGAATTTGGTACTCAACACATTTTGATACGAAAATTTTGTCCCAGTTCTCGTTGTGCAGGCTAAAACTTAGCAGTGCTATTGGCCTCTGACCAGCCACCCTTCCAGACAAAGTGATTTGTTCAGTACTTGATTTTGGTCCTCGTCACACCACCAGGAACCGGCTAACAAGTAGCAGGATACCACTGTGTTCAGATTTCATGTACTTCGCTGCTGGTTCTTCAGACCGGCATCCAAACAGATGTTAGGATTGACTATTTTAAATCCAGAATGGTTTACTCCCACACCTCCTCTTCCTATGGCTTTAACTTATTGAAGAGATTCTTTTCTGACAAAATAGATTTTTTTCTTTTTTCTCAATGTTACTGAATTTTATTCCTCTATTGTGTTTTTTGTAAACTGTAAGTTAAATCTAAGACACAAGACTTCTGGGACAATATAAATGCTACCTCCATAGGTACATGAAAATGTCCTATTATGAGTGGTCGTGATTCTCATCACAGTTAAAATTATGATAGCCAGAAGAGTAAAGACCTTTGAAAATGTAGCCAGGGCAGAAATTGTAAGAATTTCAGCTTGAATACCTTCATTTTGAGATAGGCAAGTAGGTAGCAGAGACTGTAGTGAGGTATAATGAGAATTTGAAGTTAAGTACATTAAGAATGAGAAGTCTGGCTATAATAATGGACAGAAGGAAAAAAATTAATGGATAATTATCTTCTAACACTTGAACAACAGGTATAGTGATAGAAGAGATTTATTAACTGTTTAGAACAGCTTCTCAGAATAAAATTCATGAAGTCAACGTTGCAGTTTCTAAAAATACATACTCTTGTGCAGGCATAGTGTACACACTTGGAATCCTAGCACCCAGGAGGCTGAGGCAGGAGAATCTCCATGAGCTCTGGAGCCTAGCCTGCACTATGTATTAAGTTCAGGGTTAGTCTGAACAAGACCCTGTCTCAAAAAATAAAATAAAAATTCCTAATCCTTGGGAATTTGCTTTTCACTGTTATTAGCTGATTCAGGGTTTCACTATGTAGTTCAGGCTGGCCTTGAACTCTGTGTAGCCCAGTCTGGCTTTTAGCCTGTTCTTACACATCATCAGTACTCTAAGAGATGACAACAGAATTAATGTGAATACCCACAGAATGACACTGTTTATATCTGTTTTAAAAGAGCTGCCCTGCTACTTAGCAAAATCTCCTTTTGCTGGTATCAGGAGTATGCTGGAGTACATTCCCACCTTGCTGTCTTTCTCTAGTGTTAACGTTTCTACCCACTTTTACTCGAGTTCTGATGTCTAAATGCCTACCATGTTAGGAAAACAAAATTTCGAACAGATGTTTGGGGCTTAGGGGTAAAAGAGTAAAATTTGACTTTAAATTGTCAAACATACAAAATGAAATGGAAAAGAATTAAAATTAGTTGTCGGAAAAGAAACCCTCATATGAAATAAATGCTTCCTGTCTGCTGAGGCAGTGTTTTGTTCCTGGCAGAAATACTTAAATAAGACCATTCTGACTTTAATCCTTAGCTCCTAATATCTACATAAACCATCATCAACCCCCTGCCCTTTGTGGTACTAGGGAATGAACCCAGGGCCTTCACACTGAGGAGCTACATTCCCTCATTTTTTATATTTTTTACTTTGAAACAAGGTCTCATAAGGTCGCTAGGTTGCCCTGGCTGGGCATTTCTCCTGTCTCAGACTCCCCGAGTTCTGAAGTTACAGACATGTGCCACTATGCCTGGCTTAGGGTTCCTACTTTCTCAGGAGTAGAAAGACAACTTTATGTAACATGCAGAGCATTGACTAAAGAAGGTAATTCCAGCTAGTTCCCCTTTTTCATGTTTTTCATCCCAGCCCAGGTAATTTGAGATTTTCTTCAAAGCATGCTAACTTTGTTAATGGAGATTTTACTTATATAACTATATTGAAATGGAAAGTTCTTTTATTCTGATAAATATAGATTTCACTTACTGTTGAAAAGACTTGCAGATGTTCTGTATTATGTACACATATAGACAGTATAATAAAAAATTGCAAAAGCTGGGTGTGGTGACACACACCTGTAATCCCAGCACTCGGGCAGCTGAGGCAGGAGGATTGCTGGGAGACCAGCCTGGCCTACACAGTGAGATCCAGAGCAGTCTGAACTACATAGTGAGACTCTGTCTCAAAAAACCAAAACCAAAAAAAAAAAAAATGCAGTGCATTAAAGATGTCTTTTCCCCTCCAAAAATATTTTTAGTTCTGAACCGTCTGAAGATGAAGAGTCCCAGGGCCTTCCTCCCATGTCACGAAGAAATGATGGTATTTCAGAATTGGAAAATCTTTCAGAACTGGAAGATCTTAAAGATGCAAAACTTCAGACCTTGAAAGAACTTTTTCCACAAAGAAGTGATACTGATTTACTTAAGGTTGTACCTTTTATAATTAGTTGTAGCTGTAATGATAAAAGTCTCTCTTGAGTCCTTGCTGTTGTTAGTGGTAGATAGGTATTTTCCTGAAGATACATGTTTGAAGATAATTATTTTATGTAGTAAAGATAAATGCTTGAAATTTATTTCATGACAGTCATAGCTCATTAATAGGGAAGTTAACTCACCTGAAGTAATAAAATAATCTTGCTCTTCCAAGCCCCTAGGTGGCGAGGTTTTCTTGTGTTTGAGTGTTTCTGTGATGGGGCTCCTTCCCCCAGAAGCACTTATGTAAGTTAAGTCCCTTGTAGTTAAAGACTGTTGTCCTACTCATCAGTGTCTGAAATTCTGGAGATTCAGTGATCACTCACTGTAAAGGGGAGCACTCTCTGGAAGTATTCTGTGCTTCAAGTGATTCTCCCAGCTCAAGAGAAAAGTGACATTTAGAAATCATTATACAAATTTTTATACACATGTAAAAGAGCTCAAGAAGTGATGAAATATAAATCTAGCCCTAGGCTCAGCAAGGGTATGCTTTCACTATTTTGAAAATGTAAAGGGTCTCATAAAATGTCAGAGATTCCAAGATTAGGAAAAGCTAGTATGGAGGAAAGCATTCTTATATTTGCCTGTGGCTGTTGGATTTAATATAAAAACGGCTTATTAAAAAAGTAAGGACTACAGTTATCCAGTACTTGCCTGTCGTACACAAGTTCCTGTATTAGTCCCCAACACCACCCCCATAGAATCTTTTAAAAATAAGTACCTTATTAGAAATACGGGAAACTAATGAAGAAAATATGAGAGATTTAGTTTCTTCTGAAATCTGAGCTGTCGATGGTATAAAAAAAGTATGTTGCAACTGTTGTGTGAGTTTTATATTCATTATATTTTTGAGGAGTTTCAGGCCATTCAGAAATAAAGTAAAACTCAGGAGTCCTTTCTTTCATTCTTCTTATGAAGAATTGGATTTTTATAAAGACCAAAATTGTGCCTTCTTACTCTAAAAATAAAAAAGGAGTATAAATGTCTATCAGTGTACCTCTTGCTTCTTCCTGCATTTTCCTTCCATCTCCTTGTCCTTTTTCTTTTTCTCTCTCCTTTGCACACACAGTGCCGGAAACATATAAATAGACGTTTTCAAGGCTTTAATAAAAAGCCTTAAAATAAAAAAGACCTGAAAAATATTTATGTATCTATGTTTTATTCTTTGTAGTGATGAATAAATCATATGCATTTTAAGATACACTTAGAAAAGTCCAGACTTTTTAAATAACCAGATTTTGTGAAAAATTATCATAGGACTTCCTGCGCTTAATCCAAAACACACATTTACTCCACACTGTCTGTTATTTAATATTGTCTTAAATATTTCAATAACTTTGTGAACTAATTCTTTCAGTGGTTTTTTAAACGTTTGTCTTTTCTTTTTCCGTTAGTTGATTGAATCAACAACCACTATGGATGGAGCCATCGCTGCTGCCTTGCTAATGTTTGGTGATGCAGGTACACTTGGCTGAGTCTGAGTCATTTGGTTTACTAGTTATATAATAATAATATCTTACTACCACTACTCTGCAGTTCTCCTAGCACTTACGTGAATTCTTATTAGTACCTCCAATTTTTTTAGATGAAGAAACTGAAACTTCAAAAGGTTGAGTAACTTAACTGAGGTCGTATAGCTCCTTGGAAACCAAACTTGTAGGTTGATTCCCCCACCCTCTAAAGAAGGAGAGGGACCAGCTTCTCATTGTTAACTGTTTGTTTTCTACAGACTAAATCCCATAACAGTTTTAGAAGGTAAATTTTCTTTTAAAATTGCACTGTGGTTTTATTTACAGGTCTACAAACCTGAGGTGGTAGGAATTAATGTCTTGTAGAAAGTCCATGCTAGCAATCAGCATTCCTTCACTGAATCAATATTTATGTTATGTTTCAGGCTTCTGATAGAAAAATAAATGTGTTTAAAGGAGTTTGCACTATAGAAAAATCTTCAAATTTTTAGCAAATGCTACCTTGATTTTTTTATTAACTTATATATATCAAAAAAGAAAAAGAAAATGAAAAAAATCACCTGCAGTCCTAGTGCTGAAAAGCATTTAAAGTAGGTAATGAAAATAACTCTGTACTCTATTAACATTTTCCTGTACATGTTTTCCACATGTACACCAGAGTGTAAAACATTTATAATGAACAGCTTATTGGTACAGTTAGGTATCTGATTATTTTAAATGGCTTTATGACATAATTTGTGACTGCCCATAGGGTTAGTTTATTAATCATTTTCCTCTTACCATTTGTTTCCATTATTAACTGTCTTTTTACCAAAAAAATTTTGGTAGGCTAAATTTCAAACTTAAGTTCCTAAAAGTGTGCACATTTTTACATATATGTATTTCTCTGCTTTGTTCAAAGTTGTACCAGTGTATGCTTTCATTAACTTTGTGTGATGCATGACCCTTTCCCTAAGTGTATTTTTCTGCTTTTGTAGAGTATGGAGCATTGAACCGAGGGCCTTTGTGCTGAACTGTACCACAGGCTCTTTTTAAAATTTTTATTATTTTGAGATGGGGTCTTGCTGAGTTGCCCAGTTGCACAGGCTGGAATTGAACCTAAAATCTTCCTGCCTTGCCCCCCAGAATGCTGGGGTTACAGGTGTGCACCACTGAATCCAATTTAAATTTGTTTTAGAATTTAAGATACACACACAAATATAAAATAAGTTCCTGTAGGCCAATCATGTTTCTTCAGCAGTTATTTAACCTCATTTTCTCTCTGCTCAGCAGATTGATTGAAGTGGATCCTAAACATAATATTTCATGCATATGAAATACTTAAAACCTTTCATTTTCTCCAGTTTAAATAAGGGGACAGTATTGTGTGGATACCACATACACAGAATATCAAGATACTTTGGTTTTCTGCTTAATACCTGTGTGACCTCTGGGTAGTGTTGCCTGACTCTTCTGTGTTTTTTTCTTAGTAGTAAAATAGTATACAGTGTTGTTGTCAAGGGCAACTAATAAAAGTCAGTGTAACTTCCCTGCTGTGGTGCCTGGTATGTGCTCAAGTTCTTAAAGACCTTGTGATGAGAGAAAATGTACAGGAGAGAGTTGGCTTATTTTCCTCATTAGTGTATCTCTAGTACCTACAGTATTTTAGAATCTTTTGAAAAGATGGTAGACCCAGTTAATATTTGTTGAGTTGCTTGGAAAATGTCACATGATCTTTCCATTGAAAACAGGTTGTGGAATGATTGTTCCTTAGCAGTCTAATCCTTTTTCTGTAGCATTTTCTATCTGAGTTACTCATCAATTTAGCAAATATTTCTTATGCCCCTAGCACATGCTGTTCGAGACTATGAGGGTAGATAAGGAACCCAAAGGAACAGAACCCTCAGCCTCATGAAGTTTATGATCATCACTTGAGGTTTTTTTCTTATTCTTGCTCTGAATATTCTGTCTTTTTTTAAAGTTGACGAAGTATAAGAAAGTGGGATTTTTTTTTTTTTTAAGTACACTTTCTTGCAGTGTTGGGCTGGACAGAACAGTTTCAAAGTTCTACTCTGTCTTTTTTTAAAGTTGACAAAGTATAAGAAAGTGGGATTTTTTTTTTTTTTTAAGTACACTTTCTTGCAGTGTTGGGCTGGACAGAACAGTTTCAAAGTTCTTAGAGTACACTTTTGGTAATGTATAAATGATGCTTTTCTAACTGGAAGATGAGATAATCTTTACTATGTTGATACAGGGAATGGTTATATTTTAGGGTATTTGTAGCAAGAGGCCTTTTAAAAATAGCCATCTTCACAAATCATGATATCAGACCTGTGTTTTACCACAAATTAAAATCTTCCATAAATAACATGACTCTACATATTAAGCTATAAGGGAGTTTTTACATAATGTATTTTGAAAGTTTTTGGTTACAAAAACTATATACCCAAAATTTGTACCCTAGTTTAGAAGGTAAAAATATGAATTTATTGGTGTTATGTTTGTAGTTGTGGTTTTTTTTTAGAGAAGAAACGTATCTAAATGACATGGCATAAATTATCTACTTTGAAGATGTTTTCCAGACTTCAAATATTACTTAAAGTACTTAACTCTAGGGCCACGGATTTGGCTCAGTGGTTCTCCCACCTGCCTTGCAAGAGCAAGGGCCCAAGTTCGATCCCTGGTACCAAAAATAAAAATAAATAAAGTACGTAACTGTAGCAGATATACAGGTGATGGTATGGTTTTGTTTTCCCATTTCTAAGGCGAATGCTGGAAATGAGTGCATTTGCATTATGGAATGAAGTAGGCAGAAACAAGTATTAATTCTAACGTGATTATTATGCCTTAAAGGTCTATGGTATTCAGTTTTATTTTGTAATGGCATCTTAAATTTACAACTCAGACACTGTAATGCATGTGCTTACCTTGAGTATTGTATAAATGCACAGTTTGGATTCCTATAAGTTAATGTTAGTCGTACACCTTTGCAGGTTTTAGCCGTACTTTCATGTTAGCAAAACTATATTTAAGTATTTGCTCTCTCAAGGTGAAAGCATTTCCTAGATAAATGATGTACAGAGTATACTTAATTATCTATTTGGAGAGAGTACTTTTAGCATTAGTAATGTGACGGTTTACAAATACTGCATCACACTGAATTCTACTTTGAGAAGACTACAAAGCATGTTCACTTTTCCTGCAGTCTAATCTATGTGTAGGAGAAAGAATATTAGCCCTGAAAGATAACTGTATGGTCAACATAATACATTTTACCTTTGTTCTAAAGTAAATTAATTACTATTATTCCTGTGTAAAGTTTGAGTATACTTCTTTATTTTAAAAGGTGGTGGGCCCAGGAAGAGAAAATTATCTTCTTCTTCAGAGCCATATGATGACGATGAATTTAATGATGATCAGTCTTTTAAAAAGACAAGATTGGATCATGTAAGTTACGTTTGTATTGCAGTATCAAAATTAAGATATATTAAGTCTGTAGGTATCAGACCTGAAAATCCACGTAAATTAATCTTTCTTCCCTTTTGAAAATCCCTTCAATAGGATTATAGTGCAGCAGTGTTTACTTTGGGCTCACCATTGTGCACATCTTTGTAAACCACATTTAAGTTGCTTTCTTTAGCTGCTCACATTTCCCAGTGCTGTGGATGGTGGCTGAAGGAGGGGCAGCAGTGAGGTAGAAACAGTACCTGGAGGGTCTGCACTTGCAGGTGACCAATGTCTCTGCAGCCTGCTTCAGTCCATCCGCACATACCCCATGAGGGGGGCACCTGACTAAATCACCTTTTGGATTGATCGATTGTTGCTGTAATGCACAGTTTTTGGTTTGGTGGATCAGATATCCAAGTCATGTAACGATTCACACCTCATAATTACCTGATGTTCTCTTGTCAACCATTCTGTTGCTATCAACATACTGTCAATACAAAAACTGTTTAAAAGTATTGCACTTGGTTCTGTGTTTAAAATGTGAATTTTTTTTCCCAGCGCAGTTAATATGTTGGAGAACAGTTTGATGAAAGCCAAAATTTGTACGCATGTGTGTATGTGCTATTTTGTCTATTAAAAATACTAGGTGAACACAAAGAATTGCTCCTAGCTGAACAAGCCACACGGGAACATAATATATAAAACATACACTCCTCAAACATCTGGCTGCGTCATTTTACTCTGTATTATCTTACAAGATCTGTGTTTCCCTGTCTACTTTGAGAGCTTTTCTGTTTGAGAAAAGCACATTCAATACCTCAAGCCAGCCTAAGCATCCTGGCTCAAAAATGCCATGTGTTACATGCAAAAAGAAGCTTTTCAGTAATGAGAAGAAGCTGAGAGGAAAAAAATGGAAAGAAATGAGAATATATGGTAGATCCCAAGCAACAGGTATGATAAACCTCATTGTGGAAATGTCACCAAAATAAAAGTATATGCCCAGACCAGATTCTAGTGCTAAATCAGGAAGAAGAAAGCATAAAGAAAGAGAAGAAAAGGAGAGGTTGTTGAACACTGGGATTCAAGAACAGTGAATGAAAAAATTAGGTACAGCCTTTCTCACATAGATCGTTGTTTTTACACTTAAGTCGGGAAAGAGAAATCACTGTCTTGCAGAAAGTGATTCCTTTTAATGCCACTAGTGTTTGCTTTAGTGATTTCAAGCAGTGTTACAATTTCTTAAGCTTTCAGCTTTCAGACATAGCCATTAGTGCAAATGAGAATTTCCCACCAGTGATAACAGAAGTAAACTGAGAAGTCAGCTGTGCACTGAGTTTAATTCTTGATTTTGATGGCAGAAGTACATGTCATAAATTCATGCCTTGAAGAACCCGAATCTCAAAGACAGAAAACAAGTGCCACAATTTAAGGCTCTAACGGTGATAACTCTGTAGCAGTGCCAAAGGGAGGCTTTAAGCTGCAGCCAGTAATAGTTTATCACTCTTCAAAATGTAACCTTTGTAAAAGGAATTTTTAATTATCCTTGATTCCCTTCTATATGGGAAGAATGTGTGGATCATTGACTATGTTGCATTGGTGTATTTACTTAATTCTTCCGACTTACTGAGATGATTATAACAACAAAAACTTCCAAAACAAAAAAATTTAACTTTAAAAATTCTCACAGTGCATCAAGCTGTCCCTCCCCAAAAGTAGGACTCAACCCCATATCATGTCTGTCCTTTTTTCTCCAAAAGCCACCTGATACAACCCCTTGAAAAGCTGTAATGGCATCATTTTTAACTTACATATAAAGTGAACATTTATGATATTAATTTCTACTACTGAAGGTGAGAATCTAAAAATAATTATGGAATTTTGGAAGAGGTTTAACGTTAGAATGGCATTATTGTCATTGTTGTAACCTAGAGTGATAACAGTAAAAGTGCTTATCGTCAGGCATAGTGGTGTATGCCTATAATCTCAGCACTCTGAGAGGCTGAGACAAGAGGATAGTAAGTTGGAGACCAGCTTGGGCAACTTAGTGAGAGGCCCTGTCTCAAAATAAAAGGCTGGATATAACTCAGTATGAAGGCCCTGGGCTCAACTCCCAGTACTGGGGAGGAAAAAAAAGTGCTTGTATTACATGGGATGGAAGGATCTCATTGACCTGATTCTTGATTATGAAATACTTGATCCCAAAGGAAAAAAATTAAAAATTCCAAATAAGCTGTGCTGATCTACAAAGAAAAACAGAATAGATATGAAGAGGTATAAAAGGAAGGTATGTGAAAGCTTCTAGGGTCCCACCCTAATAATCTTCACTAGCTTGTTGCTGATGGCTGTGTGCGTATAGAAGATACTGACAGCCATGCTGAAAGTTGAAAGGCTAGACCGTGTCAGCTTAATACATCAATTTACGAGATTTTTAAAAACAATTAAACGGATTTAATAATGCTAAAGGTAATAGAATAGTCTAGTATGTCATCCAGATGAATTTGGAACTATATAAGCAGCTTTATTGTAAAATCAGGAGGCTAGCAAAGCAGCAGAAATAGTATTTATTTAAGTGGGTGTGGTAGCACATGGCTATAGCCCCAGCACTTGGGAGACTGAGGCAGAAGGATCATTGGAGCCCAGGAGTTAGACAGCCTGGGCAGCATAGTGAAACCTTGCCTTAAAAACAGAGAAATATCATTTACTTGTTACTTATTAATTGTATTGTGAGCCAGTATGGCAGAGGTAACACAAAGACCAACATGTCTGCTGTGATTTCTCTTGAAGCTTGCCAGAGACTTTAAGGTAATGGTGGCAAACCTATGGTGTGTGCTCCATCAGTCTTGTTTGTATCATTGAAAGCTCTAAAAGGTTTGCCACCACAGCTTCAGGGTATCTTGCCACCGTTCCTTTGAGAAACCTTGAATCTGCTGGTCATGAGGCTTAAGTGCGGAATGTCTGGTACTATACCCTGGACCTGCTGCATAGCTTTCTCAGTCTGGGCCCCATGTATAATTGATAAGAGACCCTTCATAGTAGATACAAGCAGCACATACTGTAACACCTTGCCTTCAGCATTCGAACAGATCGATCCAGTTGGTGTGTCTCATAGAGGCAGATTAGGTGCAGTTCTTTTTAGGAGAGGAGTTTGCAATGTGCTTCTGACCAGACTCTCATACAGTTAATGAAAGTGATTGGCCCCAGAACTTGAAGTTGATTATTTCCCACTCGGGGTCTTGGACATGCTAAGCACAGACTCTTCTCACTGAGCTACATGCTTTGGGGGGAAGAAATTCATTTAGCATAGTCACCTTTTTTTTTTTTTTTTTTTTTCTTTTTTTGGTATCGGGGATTGAACTTCGGTCCTTGCGCTTGCAAGGCAGGCCACCGAACCACTGAGCTAAATCCCCGGCCCCAAAGTCACCTATTTTAGAGGGGCTAGTTCTGTGGCATTTAGTACAATCATAATATTGTATACAAGGACTCAACCTAGTTCCAAAGTGTTTTCATCACCTCATAGTGCTATATTCATCCAGTAGCTGCTGTTTATTCCTTTCTTCCCCTGGCAGCCACCTGTTTGCCTTCTTTCTCTGCAAACTTACCTATTCTGTATTGTTTGTTTGTTTGTTTTTTGGTACCAGGGATCGAACTTGGGTCCTTGTGCTTGCGAGGCAGGTGGCAGACCACTGAGCTAAATCCCCAGCCCTCTGCTTTATTTGTAAAATGGAATTATGTGTGACCTTTTATCTTTTTTTTTTCCCTTGAGATGGGGTTTTGTTTTGCTACCCAGCCTGGCCTTGAACTCATGGGCTCAAAGTGATCATCCAGCTTTGGACTCCCAGGTCGTTGGCACTACAGGTGCTTGCTGCAATGCCTGGCTCAGTGTGTTTCATACGGTGTTTTCAAGAGCCATTCAGATTGTGTCATCTATCTGCACTGCATTCTTTTTAGGGCCAATAATAATCCATTTTATGTATATGCCATTTTTCTTTGTCTAATCTTCCATTGATGCCCATTTGATGTATTTTTTAAAAACAGGAATGTGCTGTTTGAACAACTAAAGTTTAGCAAAATCTATGCTGTGGAAAAATACTGATCTAGAGTCAGACACTTGTTATTTTTCCACCCTAGCTAGCTATTCATTTGTGACCTTTTAGATACTTAGTCTTGGAATTTTAGTGTCCTCACTGTTAAGGATGGCAGTATGAATTTCTGAGGGTTTTGAAACACTTTTCAAATACTGCCATGTATTCCTGGTCAAAATCCCATTGCTCCTGCTGTTTCTGAAAGAGACTAACCTTTGGTTATGCAGTGTTAATTGTGGTTTACTTCAGCCTTGTAGCTGATCCACTGTTGCTGTGCTCCAGCCCAGAGAGCCCTCTTCCTTTATAAAATACATGTAATTTTCTTCCTGTGGCAAACTTCATGGCATTTTTTTCTTCACTGCCAAAGATCAAGCTCAGGGCCTAGTGTATTTTAGGCAAGCACTGAACTAAACCTCCAGCATTTTATTTGGCTCTGTATTTATTTGTTTGTTTGTTTGTTTGTTTTTTGAGATAGGGTTTCACTATGTAATTGAGACTGATCTGAAACTCACTATGTAGCCCAGGCTGGTCTCGAACTCACAGCAGTCCTCATGCCTCAGTCTGTTTGGCTCTGTTTTATATAACATTATCTTGTTCCTGTGTGCTAGAAGGGTATCAATCTCAATTTAATTCTTCCTACCTCAGTTATACAAATAAAGATACTAGTTCAACTGTTGGATATAATAAAGTAGGTGAAAGAGAAAATGGTGGACTGCTTTCCTGTTTTGTTTATATAGCATGTGATCCAGTGCTTAGCAGAGTTCCTTAGCTCTTACAAGATTTTTCCTACACGTGAACACAAAAGATTTGTTTTTTTAATTTAAATGTGGGATTTAGCTATTTCAAATGAAATGAAGTAAAAGAAAAGTGAAACTGTACATGTAGCCACAGTTATTTCTAGATTAACTTTAGTTTTTATATATAATTCTACTCAAGTCCTTTATATCATTTCACTTTTGTTACAATTGAACAATTAGTATGTAATCAATTCTGTGATTCAGGACTGAAATAAAAGTTTTTTTCTCAGTCTTGAAAACATAGATGGGGATAAAATTATAAACATGAAATATTTGTGTTACTTTTATAACTTGTCATTGTTTTGGAGAAGACTTCATTGTGAATTATATTAGTTTTAAGAACTTTACAGATTTTGTAGATTTGTCTCATTTTGAATACCGAATAGTTTGTATTAATGGATATGAGTACTCAAGCTCTTTCACCAAACTTAACTCAGCAGTATTTTTATCCTCTAAGACAAATTTGTCAGTGTTCACATAAACAAAAGGAAACATTATATTTTTCTGATCCAATTTGTAATTTTCACATCGAGTCAAAATACAGATGTAATAAACTTAATATCCTTTTTATGATGATGACTTAAAAGTTTGTTTTTTTTTTTTCCCTTCCTCCATTAGGGAGAGGAATCAAATGAGTCTGCAGAATCTAGCAGTAATTGGGAAAAACAGGAAAATATTGTATTGAAACTGCAAAAGGAATTTCCCAATTTTGATAAACAGGTGAGCAGTAGGGTATAGAAGTTAATTTGTGTATATTAAACAATTACAAAATAGTGTTTAACCATATAAAAGTTTGAGGCAAGTTTTATATTTTTATAATTAAAGTTCTCTTTTTATCAGTGTTACATAAACTGTTTTATGCTGCTTTTGAATTCATTATATTTTTTTATTTATGAATCAAAGTAGTAACATTATTAGCCGGGTGTGGTGGTGCACACCTGTAATCCCAGCACTTGGGAGGCAGAGGCAGGAGGATCTCTGTGAGTTCGAGACCAGCCTGGGCTACATAGTGAGTTCCAGGTCAGTCTCCACTACATAGTGAGACCCTGTCTCAAAAAAAACAAAACAAAACAAAGTAGTAGCATTATAACCCAAGTCATAACAAGCATACTTTAATAAATCTTGTGAACTCATTTATGAAATGTAAATCATCTGGAAAGCTATCTGTTGTCCTTCCCCATCAAGTAACTGCTTAGGTTTTTCTTTTAATATTTTCATCTTTGAAATTTCTTAGAAGAATTTTAAAGTGTAATATTGCATTTCAGTGCCTTAAAATTCCACAAGCTTTGTTCTACCACTCAGATAGTAAGATACGTATCAGGTGTTTACAGAGTGCTCAGCATGCCATTGATAAAGGGCCTCCTTCGCTGACTCCTTTGTTGGGGTGCCCGTTTACCTTTTGGAGCACACTTGCACTTGCATTGGTTCTTTCTATCTCATGCTGCGCGATCTGCTGAGTTTGATGAGCTGCATGCAAAATCTTATTTCTGTCCCCATTCTTTACATACACTGAAACTATGTGTAAAAGCCTAGCTACCTGTTGAATTTTCTTTGTTTGTTTTTTGTTCTGTTTTCATTTTTGAGGTGGGATCTCACTACTTGTTGAAGCTCACCTGGAACTCAACCATGTAACCCAGGATGGCCTTGAACTCAACAGTAATCCCCCTGCCTCAGCCTTCTGAGTGCTGGGATTATGGCCTGCACCACTGCACCTGGCTTTGAAGTTTCATTTTTAACTGAGCAAACATTTTTTGATATTTTAGTAATCAGAGTATTTCACAGGAAGAACTAAAAATACCAATCTTTCTTCCCTTTGAAGACTGTGGTACATACATACAGTACATTTCAGAGAGGCACTTACACAGAATGCCTTTGTAGTGCAGCCTAAAACAAATACGAAACAGTAAGGTATGAATTTTGTATGTTCCCAGGTGATTAGCATAGTTTAAGAGTTATATGAATGTTGCATTTTGCTACTTTGTAACAGCCATTGATGACTTCTTTCCAGGAACTAAGGGAAGTACTCAAAGAACATGAGTGGATATACACAGAAGCCTTGGAGTCTCTGAGAGTGTTTGCGGGAGACCAGGGTAATGACCCTATGCACAGGAAAGCGTATTCCCAAGTCATCTCACTAGAGAATGGGGTTACAAAGTGTTGGAAGTAATGATATAAAAAATTTTAAATGACCACTTCCTAAATGTCTTGACCTATTTATGGCGGCATAAAAGTAAAATCAATAAGCGTCCTTTTCTATCTTGCCAGTGTTTCTCGATAGTCCAGGTTTCTTTTACACTGTGTGTTTGAATGTAAAAGCAACGTTATTAATATTTGAACAGCTCTCAATCAGGGTGGGTCTTGCAATTGATAGTCTTACAATCACTAGTCAGATGGCTGATCTGCACTACGTAAACTTGTCAGACAGCATCATAAATTTATGTTGGTGTGGAATGAAAGTCTGAACCCAAGGGATATGTTCTCTAGAGAATGGTAAAGGAGAGAGTTGGTCAGCAGAGTTGAGCCATACGTTTAGTAACATCCCTTACCAAGAATTGAGTAAACTTAGCACTTCATAATTGCAAAGCCAGCTTTAAAAGCCTACTGTTGGAAGGAAAAAAATGGCACAGTGGCTTTAGGTGTTTTTTAATGAACACTCAGGAAATGTTGTGTCGCCAATATTCTTGCCTAGAGAACAGTACTGTGTAAAAAAAGAACTACCAATATCATCCATTTTTAGGCCAAAAAATGATTGACAAGATCCACATAAATGTAAATAAGTTTGAGGAATACTTCATCCAGTTTCTTTTCCTGTTTTTTATGTGCAAAAGAATGTATGATGATGTTTCTGAAGGCCCTTTATTAATAGAGAAATAAACATTCTAACTTAGTGCCGTCACCCCTCAATATCTGTGGGTGATTGCTTCAGGATCCCACGATACCGAAACTGCTGATGCTTAGGTCCCTTGTGTAAATTGGTGTAGTATTTCCCATACCTACCTCCCATGCACTTTAAATCATTTTTAGATTATTTAATAATTCCTAATACAGTGTAATGGCTATAGAGTAGGGGCTTTTCTTTTAACCATTTAGGGACAGTGATGAGAAAAGAGTGTGTGTATGTATGTATATATATATATATATATATATATATGCAGTACAGATACAAAGTTTTTTCCTAACATTTTTGATTTATGATCAAATCCATGGATTTGGAACCTATGGGCACAGAAGGCCAGTTGTACTATAGATTGATTGATGCATATTTTTTACTGATACATAAAATAAGGTACCTTCTTTCACAGACATAGAAATTAGATGAAATATGAAAGGTTGTTCAGAGAGCATAGCAATACTTTTCAGTGACAGTATAGCATATTTTTAATACCAGTATAAGTAGTGATGAACTCCGAGTAGCACGTGGATGGTGGTGGAAGGGTGGGTTGCAGCGTGGGCAGTTGAAGCAGGCCTGTCAGTCAGCCTCCTGTCCCAGCGCATCGCTACCCCTCATACCCATCAGCGAGGCTCAGCGCACAGCTGCTGTGGCTGTGCAAGTGACAGAGGAATCTCAGACCTTTGTCAAAAATGGAAATTTATATTTATTTTTTTTAAAAGAATCACCAGCTTTTGAAACTATTGTTAGTACATAACTTCAAATCCTGTTTTAATGTTTTTCTTGATGTGTCATAATTTAACAATAATTGCAGTTGAATTTTTCAGTATAAAGGATATGTAAAATTTAAGTATTTTTCTTATTTGAAGTCTTATTTCTTTATATATTTCTAATTTAGTTACTGTTTTTGTCTTTTATACACAGATATGCAATATGCTTCACAAAGTGAGGTTCCCAATGGAAAAGAGGTTTCTTCAAGGACTCAAAATTATCCTAAAAATGCACCTAAAACAAAACTGAAACAGAAATTTTCCATGAAAGCACAAAATGGATTTAACAAGAAACGTAAAAAAAATGTATTTAACCCTAAAAAAGTGGGTGAAGACTCTGAGTATGACTCAGGTTCGGATGCCGGCAGCTCCCTGGATGAGGACTACAGCAGTGGGGAAGAGGTGATGGAGGATGGCTACAAGGGGAAAATCCTCCACTTCCTGCAGGGCGCCTCGATTGGTGAGCTCACTCTCATTCCTCAGTGCTCCCAGAAGAAGGCTCAGAAGATAACAGAACTCCGGCCCTTTAACAGTTGGGAGGCTCTGGTAAGGCTACATTCTTTTCCCCCTGTGTGTGTTTAATTTACAGTACCGTTTACAGTCAAGTTGTCTTCAGCCCAGGAAAGCATAGATGGGTGGCCTTAGCCTGTGTAGAGTCAAACATTACTTTCATTGTAAGCCAATAGTGTTTCAAATAGTGTCATATGACCTAATTTTGAATGAATTAAGGGGTGATTTTCCTGAAAAAAATCCAAGCTGATTGGCTGGGAATACTGTCACTCATTCTTTTGCATAGAAACTTGGTTCATTTCACTGCAGAAGAAGAAATTAGAGCTTTCATTTAGGAAGGAGTTGTTTGCTAGCTTGTTCTGATCTGTTACTGCTGGACGCCATGCACAAAGCAAGAATGTAGCAGCAGAAATGTAACTGCAACTGCTTGAAGAGCAATAGCAACATCCAGAGGAGTTCCATGACTCAAAATGCCAGCCTGGGTGTTTCAGGCTTCACCACAAAAGAAGCAATTGTTTGTTTTCTTTTTCTTCTAAAAGTGATAGCTCAATCTCTAACATGCTTTTCTTGGTTAAACATCGCCGCCATTTTATGGAGTGTATCAGGCTGCAGCGTTTTTAATGGGAAAGATAGAAAAATTTGTGGAAGCCTAGAATTCAAGCTTTAGGTGAAGGGAAGGCATAAACACTGGTAAGTACTCTTTGCATGATCATTTTGTGGAGTTTAATTTCCTGTAAACAAGATTTATCCAAAATACCTGCATTTGAGTTTTATAAATGTCAACAGTCATCAAATCTTGCTCCTACAGAGCAATGTAAAAACTCTTAAATTTTGCTTCAACTCTTACAAGACTGGTTTTATAGCGTGAAATGTGTATAGGCCCTGTAATAAAAGCAGTATGGGCAATTTTTTTTTTTTTTTCACAGCTTTTGAAGATGAAGTGGCTCTGGCTGCTTTGTAAAGCTTTTCAATACATTTTATTTTCTGAGTTACGGAGCAAAGTTGAATTTGTGGTTCATTGTATACCTGTGACGAACCTAAATGCGCGAGGATACCTTGTTAACTGATAGGGGAGAGTCCCTGCTCAATGGTTGCAAGAAGCAGTGTTTTAAAAATTAAAATATTTGAAAAGTAGAAACATTGCTAGTACTTTGAAAAAAAAGACCATTTGTTTTGCCCAAAGCCTTTGCTTTTCCAGAGAACATCTGTCAAAGCAGGCCTTTTCAAAACTTGTTTGGCTTTGCCTGAATGATTATTTGTTAAAGTATTTGCTGAAGGGCTTTCTTGTTCTTCTTTTCTTCCTTTTCTTCTTTCTTTTAATCTTTAATGGTCTCCAGTGTTGTTACAGAGTTAAGTTGCTCAGGCTTGTTGAGATTCTGATTTATTTAATAAGGAATCCAATTATCTGCGCTAGTTTGTTTAGTCGCTGTAACTACTTGCCCAGATACCTTAGAGTAAAAGAAAATTGTACAATTTTACCAGCAGTATGTGTGCCAGGTTTTTAAAAAACTATTTGGTAACTTAACATGTAGAAAGCATATTTCCCCTACTAATTAATTGGCATAGTTTAAATTAGTCTTGACATGACTTTGGAAATCATGCGTTGCTGACTTAAACCTCCTATTTGCACATTTCTAAAAGTTGAACATAGAGACTATATTGTTCTAACCAGTGATCCAAATGTTGAATATTTTATATAATAGTTCAAAATAATCTTAAAAGTAGGCTTTCTTACTTGAATTCAGTGAATGGTGTTTATTGTCCTGAGAAAAATAGGGAAATTTTCCCAAATTAAATGAATAAATATATAACCTTTCAATTTCAGTTTAATTAGCACTTTTACCGTCTACTGGTCAGTAACTTTAGAGTTTGAATGTAACTAGATTATAGAGCAGCTTTTACTAGGTCAATATTATGTGTGTTTTTATGAAAAGTTGTATAGTTTATTCCTTTTCTTTAATCATTAAAGTTTGATAGTTTATCTCTAAACAACTTTGAAACAATACCAAAAGTCCTTTTTTTTTTTTTTTTTTTTGGTACTGGGGATCAAACTTGGGGCCTTGTGCTTGCGAGGCAGGCGATGGAAATACTGAGCTACATCCCCAGCCCGCGAAAGTCTTTTTGATAGATACTATATTTAGAAATTTCTGTGACAGTTAATATGAGGTTTTCGTCATGTTGCTCAGTTAAAACCTTCATGAGAATGACAAGGCATTGTATATTCGTAATGGTTTGCTGATATCTCTAGGCAGCTCTTTCTTAAAATTATTGTTGAAACTTCTTTAAGAGTAAAACTGGAAATTATTAGCGATACCTTTTTAACAAAAACAAAATTTGATAATTTGCAGATGGTTTTTTTCAAGGTCTCATAAGTGTGCTATATGTAATATAGAAAACAAATACAGATGCTTGCAGCCATTTAGTACTCAGCCATTTAGCAATCAGCACAGTCATTTTATTTTTTATTTTTTATTTTTTGGGGGGTTTTTTTTGGTACCGGGGATCAAACTCGGGTCCTTGCGCTTGCGAGGCAGGTCACCGAACCGCTGAGCTAAATCCCCGGCCCAGCACAGTCATTTTAAATTGAGAGCACACACTTTATATTGCAGTGATTGTCTTGCCAGAGATTATACTTTCTAAAAATTCTTTCAGGTACTCCAGTTACCACATCTTACGTGAGGAAATCTTTTTTTGCAAAAGTGCATTACCCAGAGGTTATTTATATTTGCAGGTCATTTTTTACCCTTTGCATCAAAATTAAAATAAATGTTAAGGTTTCTTTATAATTTTTCCATTTTACTTGCAGTTTTTCTACATATAAGCAGTAATTTAGTTGCTCATTGTAAGAAAACCAAATCATTAAATTAGGTAGACTTTGGAAATGTAGCAAGCCAAGAAAAAAAAAGTCACTAGTTTAAAAGCCAGCATTGTTGTGATGAAATTGTTGTTTTTATTGCTAAACTGCACACATTTGATGGCATCAGTTCACCAACCTCTTAACTGATTTTGTCTAGCTGCATTGTAATAAATAAACCAGAATAGTAATGTATTTAGACTAATCCATTGTTTGTGAATAGTTCAACCTATAATTTTCATTATATGCATCTGTTTCAACATTTAGATTGTGTAGATGTAGATTTCCTGGGCTGTTAACCAAGCACCTCAAGCATAGTTCACGTTGTATACTCCATGCTTCTTGTATTACTTAAATGTACCAGTAACTTGGACCATTGATCTGGGGGGTTTTTTTCATAGTTTTACTCAGGGATTTCTGTAAAATGTCTAAATTTATCATGGCTTTGTAATGTATATACTCTTCCCACATACAGTGGCTTCATTAAGTTTTGTTTTTTAAGATTACTGTACTGGCCTTTGTTTTTGTATGCATTTTGATAAGCTCTTTTAAAAAATTACATCTGCATCTCAAGTACTTTGTAGACTGCTTCCCACTTTTTCTCCTAATGAATAGGATTAGAAATCTGTCCTCAGGCTGTAACTTGTTTAGGGATTAAATAATTTTATTTAAAGAATTTCCACCTTCCCAAAGAAATGCTAAAATATTTGTACAGTAAGAGTGACACGCTGTGGCAAGAGTAGGATATTTCAGCTGTAGGCTTCTTCTGAAAGCCCTTCAGTGATAATTAAGTTTGTAATCCAAGAGATCGTAATCAGGGCCATATGGATACCCTTTTTCTCGTGTAATTATTCAGCAAGTAGGAATTATATATTTTTGTTTTCTTTCCCATAAAAATAACATTTTTGAAAATGATTTTTGTGTCACATTGAAACAGTACATGAAGAAGAAAGTGAAGTTTACCTAAAATTCTACCAAATACTCACCACTTAAGATATTTTTGGCATTATCTGTTTATGTGTACATCTGTATATTTCGTGCCACGTAAATAGGGTTGTATTTTCTGTTTATTAGTAAAATTAGATTATATCTCGCATTTTCAGGGTACTTTAGGTATTTCTTAAATCATTTTTTGGTAAAGCTCAATAGCCTATTAGGACTGTTGATTCTTCTTCGTTCAGACAGAAATGTTCTTACTTTAGTTACGTGGGTGTTATAACTTCTCACCCTGAGTTAATAAAGACCATTGTAGCAGTACTTACTGGCTTTCTGTTCATTTTGGCCAAATTTAATTGTCATTATTTGTGCTTGCATTTAGGATTAAGAAGTAAAATAACCCTGTGAGCTGTTCTCCCTCATACTCCTGGCGTCTCTTTCCCGGCCTGTTGCTTACATCACTGCTCCCCTGGTCACCTACAGTTTCTGGGTATACAGTGCTTGCTGGGTTTTCAGCCTTCTATATCGTAACATTGTACGTGTGCTGCCAAGGGAGAACTGCTGTAACATTGTAGAGGAGTGGATTCAGCTCCCTCCTCTTTGTCCTCTTCGCCTCACATACCCACTTTCAGTTTTCCAGCCTCACTTTGTTGTGCTAGTTTTGAAGATCATGGATACTGTTTATGTGGTTATAACTGTATGAATTCCTTTTGTAAATGAGCTGTGTAGTGTATTACCATACACGATTACTTTTTCATTCTTACTCAACATTTTGTTTCTCCAGCTCTTTGTTGCCTTGTTTTTGCTTGGTGATGTATTCTTTCATCAGAAGACAGTAATGCACCTTGTGTAATTATTAGCAACTATTGATGCTGTATGCCTAGATCCATAATTCAATAAGGGCTTGAAAAATTAATATTTTCATACTGTCATTATTACTTCCTTAACAGCAATCTATAAAAAAGCACTCTTGTACCTACCCTTCTGCATATTTGCTGTCTGTATGCAAAATGTAGAGTATGTGCTACTTTCCCTTTATCTCCAAGTTCTCCAAATGATGACTCGTTGCTGCTACATTTTAACTCTTTCTTATGATTTCTAAATGACGTATATCCAGTTTGTATTTTAAAAAAATAAATGAAAGAGCCAGTTATGATGGCACATACTTGCAAAATCCCAGCACTATGAAAGGCTGAGGAAGGATGATCACATCTTCCAGCCCAGCCTGGGAGTCTTAGTCCCTGTCTCACAAAATAAAAAATAAAAAGGGCTGGGATGTAACTCAGTCACAGGCCTTAAGTACAATCCCTACTACTGCAAAATTAAATAATCAAGATACTTTATAAATATATCAATTTTAAATTTATGAGTTAGGACAGCTTAAACTGTGAGTTTGGAATTGTGACTGGTAATTTTTCATCTCTTAGGAAGATATAATAGAGATCTTTCCTTTCCAGAAGCTCTCCAGAGGCAGAAGAGTAATCTGATAATTGCCCATCAGATTATGACATGTTGGTTTTTTCCCAAATGACTTGTTACATAACATGGGGTATTTTTAAAGCAATGTTTCAGCTTTAATTTGTATATATTTACTTAATATAGTCTAATACTGCACCTGTTTGAAACAGTAATATGACTTACATATGTGAAGAATCTTAGTAGTTCATGTTTTATTTCCTTAGCTATCCCTTAGAGAATAAAAGTTATATATGGGGAGAGTGATGATTATTCACCACTGAGCTTACACTGATGAGTTACTAACCTTCAAAGATACCCTAACATCTCTCGACAGTAGTAGTGGATGAATATTTACCTCTCTGTGCTTCTGGCACATTTTAAAAGCATCACCATTGTGCATAATTACAGTGTATATTATAAGTGCAATAAATACGTGTTTAATTCCTCAGAACTGTGATGAAAGGTGCTGTAGAAATTAGCATTTATGCCAGGCAAAATGGTGCATACTTGTTGTAATCCCAGCACTCGGAGGCAGAGGCAGGAGGATCGCCATGAGTTCCAAGGCCAGCCTGAACTACGTAGTCAGAGACTGTCTCAAAAAGAAAAAAAAGGAATGAACATTTACCATGTGCTCCCTTGTTAGATAAGTTCATTTTAATCAGTGAAAGAAATCAGGTTGCTTGTGCTTTTGACAGTTGAAACTACAACCTCCTTTTTGCACTTATCTCTTTCCTGGCTTTCCTCTTATCTACCATGCATTTTTTTCTTGCTCTTTCGTTCTGTTTTAAAACTTTAAATGTTACATTCTTTGGAATTTTATTCTGTCAGCTGATCTTTCAGTTCCATGCACTTTTCCACGTGTAGGCACGTTGCCATCTCTGACTGATTTGATGGCCACCTGTGCACCATCTTCAGCCTACATCTTTTCCCTACATTCTAGGTCTGTGTATTTAACCTGTCCTGCTCCTCTTCAAATTTGACACCTATCCCAGATTTTTAAATAAATATTTGTTTTGTTTTTGGTGGTACTGAGGATCAAACCCAGGACCTCAAGCCTGCTAGGCAAGTGTTCTCCCACTGAGCTACACACGAGCACCTGAATTTAATATCTATCTAGAATCATATTTCCCTGTCAGACTGGTAAACTTACTTCAGTGTCTCAGTAGACAGCACCACTAGTCACTTGGTTGCCCAAGCCAGAATTGGGAGTCATGTTTAACTCTCCCCTCAGTCACATCCCCACACTGAGTGGATTCGATTCCCTAAATAACACAGACAGCCAACTTTTCTTTGTCTACTGTCTCATTTCAGAGCTTTCCTTGCACATTTTTGCTTTCTGTCAAGACTTAAAATATTGCCAGAGTGCTGTTTCTGAAGAAGAAATCATGCTGAAACCTTAGCAATAGTTTTCTGCTACCTGCTTTCTAATCGAGGCTCATCTGTTAGTTCACTAGGATCTGACATACTGCCCTTTTGGTGAAAATAGTTCTTTGTTAATTCTGGCCTTATGAAAAGGAATTCCTGGAGCCTAGAATTTATTAGTTCTTTTGATAGGTGCCTGTGAAATTGTTTTTTCCTTTATAATACCAGTTGTTGCACTAAAAGTTCTTATCTGTCTTTCCCAATAAGCCATAAGCCACACAAGGCCAGAGACTATCTACTAGGTGCCTTCAACAGGTCAAGTAGTATTTGCTAAGAAAAACAAGAGCTTACATACTAAGCGGTTGTTGGCTGCTGAACAAAATTCATTTATTGTTACCGAATAGAAGACATCAAGTAGTTCTTTGTACATAAAAGCATACAATTTCTGTTCCTTCCTTGATTAATCATGTTGGTTCTCTCACATACACACACCACTGTAGAGATAAAATAAACTTTTGGTCTGTAATTGTTTTATTCCATTTAAATGAGGATTTCTAAAGGAACTATTTAAAGCATTGGTATCTAGCCTACTATATATGTATAGATCTTTTCTCTGGAAAGCACAAAGTAGGGCTTACCTTGTGATTTATGAATGTTAGCCTTGTAGACATGTAGAATAGAATGCAAAAAGTATTTCACAGTGCTGTTTTGTAAAGTGTTAATTTTGTTTGTTTGTTTGTTATTTGGTGTTTTGGTTGTTTTGGTACTGGAGATCGAACGGACCTTGTGCTTGCAAGGCAGGCAATGACACTTCTGAGCTAAATCCCTGACTTTGTATGTCTGTATTTTTGATGGTGGTGCTGGGGCTTGAATCCAGGCCTTCACATGTCAGACAAACATTCTACCACTGAGCTGTTCTCTCAGGCCCATAATTAACTTTTGATTCATGTAATATTTTTCCACGTACTTGGTAAAGTATCAAATGACAAACAATTAGAGTTTCAAATCTTAAACGGTCTGTGTATAAGAACTGCATGGTTATACCTTGATAATGGATGAGGAAGAATGTTTTAGGAAGGTTGATCTTACAGTAATCATAAGTTTAAAAAAATGGAGATAAGTCAGATCCATAGTTATTATATTTTGGTATTTTTATCTTTTTGTTGTTAAGAGAGAAAGGTGCATCTGAGAAAACTCAATAGGAGATATTAACACACCTTGATAATTGGTATTTACATTTTTATAGGAAAAGGTATATTTTATTTCAACATAATGAGTTTGAAGTGACAGTGAATGTGAAACACTATTTAGATGTGAACATGAGGACTCAGGTTCTTTTAGCACTTCATTAAGTTGATTAATGAAAGTGTAAATAAATTCTTCTCTAAAAGAAAGAATTTGCCTATTTGAAGCTCATTTTGGTTTTTTATTTATCTGGGGTTTTTTTTGTTTTGTTTTTTGGTACCAGGGATTGAACTCAGGACCTTGCTCTTGCAAGGCAGGCAGTGGAACCACTGAGCTAAATCCCTGGCTCAGAATTTGCCTTTTTGTGTGTACTATATCTGACCTATTAAATTTTTTTTCATTCCACAGTTCACAAAGATGTCTAAAACTAATGGCTTATCAGAAGATTTGATATGGAACTGTAAAACATTAATCCAAGAAAGGGATGTAGTTATAAGACTTATGAACAAATGTGAAGACATTTCAAATAAATTGACAAAACAAGTTACCATGCTTACTGGTAATGGAGGTGGATGGAACATAGAACAACCTTCCATTCTAAACCAAAGGTAATATATATTGAATACTATCATTACTGTATTTCAGTTATTAAAATATTTGAGCAAAACATTTGAGCATATTTTTGCAATGTGCCTAGAGAAATTAAATAAGATTCAGCCATTAGTATCAGGAGAGATCCCCCCATCCCTGCAATGGCGCATGGTGGTGTATGAATGGTTTCTCATTGCTCCCCTACCCCCCACAGGGTAATTTATTCTATATAGTTGTACACTAGTGGAGTGGAATGGTGTGATCTTATACAATCTGTGTCTTTCTTATCTGATAACAATTTTTTATATAACCACAGAAACTAAAAGGTGGTTTTAATTACTCCTATAAATTTGGTGTTTGTAAAAATGTCATTTACTTAATTCTAACTGTAAAACTTTGTTAACCCAAACTTTTAATTATGAAATTATTAAAATATCCTATATCAGCAGTAAAGTATTTTTTGAAAAGCTGAGTTTTAAGTCTCTTTTTGGAGTAGAAGCACATCAGGAAGGAAAATGGAAAGATACTTGTATTAAGTAGATAGATACATAATTCCCCCAAATTGCTACTTTCAATAAAATACCTTGCCAAAACTCTTGAAAAAAATAAACACTAAAAACTGTACAGCAGTCAGTGCTTACTAAAATGGCTTTTTTTGTCGTTGAGAACTGCCACACTTTGCATGCTATTGAGGGATTGGGTTGGGGAAATTGTTTTGAACTTATTTTAGAAGTTAATTTTTAAGTAGTCTGGAGACTCAGCACTGTTCAGAAATACTTCCTTTATTTAAAAAAGTATGAAATTGTTTGCTGTAACGTTATAGCAGCAAGACCATAGAGATAATCCTAAAATCAGGGAGTAACTGGAATAAATTATGGTATATCCATACTATACAGTGTTGTGCAACTTTAAAAACATCTGTTCAGAATATTTCTAGTAGGTATTTTAGTAAAATGAGCACTAAGGTCTCTTTAATGATTGCCTTAGTTGTTGATTTTAATTCTGATATTTTTCTAAGTTAATGATCAAAGCATATTTGCTGATCATTGGTTAGTAATAAAGATCAAGGTATAAAAAAAGATGTGGTTACTGGCCTTTAATAGTAAGCGACAATCTTTTCTGTGCCCTTCTAGGGTGCTATGGGATGGTGTAGGGGAACGTGATGCAGTTCCCACAAAAGAAGCTCTTTCTCTGTTGCATAGAAAGAACTATATCAGCAAATTCATCTCCTAAAAGTGTAGTTGGAGCTGCTGCTTCTTGTTCTCCAGCATTGGATATGGGGAGTTCTTCACTCTACAAGACTTACCCAGTTGAGTCTACTTTATCATAATTTGGATTTTAAAAATCAAATGCTTTATTGCATCACTTAAATTTTTTTTCTCTTAAACCCATATTCACGAAGTTGTAAATAGTATGATCTGGTAATACACTATCCTTTTCATTAGACTGAGGGCTTTTGTTGTTTTTTGGTTTTTGTTTTTAAGACATTTAATAGGTAAGGGGGGAAATTTTTTTTAAGTACTCAGGGGATCTAATCCAAAGTACAACTTCCAAAGCCTATAGAGGTCATTTCTTCAGAGTTTACTTAAGTGAACTTTTAGGGGTGGAATTTATTGTCTTGGTTTCTGTTTTCAACCACTATGAGTTGCATAAGCAGTTTTTATTTGGTGTACTGGCCAGGCAGTGTATTAGCACACACAAGCATAGGCGGTCCTAGTGAGTATCTCATCATGTTTGTGTTGAACCAGGGCTTTGCACATACTCCCCAAGTGCTCTGCCAATGAGCTGCCCCCCAAATCCTTGGGTCCTTCCCTTTGCAGAATAAAGTCTTTGTAGTACAGTATGCTTTGAAGCAGTACTAATGTTAATTGTTCAGTCTGCATTGCAGGTTTATGTGAATTATGATAGGAGAAAATTTGCCTTTGAGAGATAGATATTCCAGAACTCCTGCTAAAGGTAGTCTTTCTAGATGGCCATGTGTGTTGGCTCCTGCCTGTAACCTCAGTACTTGGCAGGCTGAGGCAGGAGGATCACTGGGAGTTTGAGGCCAGCCTGGACTACATAGTGAGACCCCAGCCTGAGCTACATACTGATACCCTATCTCAACAGAAGATAAAAGTTTGTAGAGGAAAATAAAATTTCTGGTCTATACCTCAAAACCATTATACAGTTTTTATTTTAAAATGTTAAATATAGTGAAGAAAAGGGAGAGAAAACTCAGAATGCTTATCACAGATGGAGTCATCTCTAAGGCTTTAGCAGTTAGTACAGAATTTACCAGCTTTAAAGTGTTTTATCACAAAAGATTTCTCACGTGATCTGTATACAGTGTATTAGTCCCATGTGTCCTGCCCTTCTGTCCTGTCCTACTTAAATCTAGCAAGATTCTAATCTTATCCTGAACTTGGCAGGACAGATTCCCCATCCTGTTGGTTCTGTGCCCAGCTGTGAGCCCACTTGACATGCATGAGTGTAAGTGAGCCCCACGTGGTGACAGTCTGACTGACTCAAGTGCTGGACTGTAAATACTTCAGCTGAGTACTCATATTAGAACCCCTGATGCACTCGTATTTTCAGCAATCATGTCACTCACAGTTCAGGGCAAGTAGCACCTTTAACTTGGCGAACCACTCCAGACAAGTCTTTCTCATCCTGAATTTCCACACTTTAAGCTCAGAATAAGCACATCAGATTACACTGCTGTTTCTGTTCCGGGTATTTCTCACCTTTGAAATCAATTTGGAGGCCATACTCTTAAGTGAAATAAATAGGACAAACATGCAGATACCAAATTGTTTCCTGGTGTAAGAAACTAAAAGTGTAAATGAGGATCAGATTGTATAATTGATAATGTAAAATAGGAAGAAAAAGGGTAGGAGAAATGGGAGAGATGGGGAAAAGGGAAATATGGAAGGAAAAAAGGGAAACAGTCTTTGTAAATAGGGAGAGATGGAAGGTTTGAAGGAATGGCAAGGGAATGGGGAAAAAAATAAGAACCAAGATCTGTCATGTAAAGGTACAAGTGCCCAATTATGAATGTAACTGTACTGTATACCTAAAATGTACCAATCAACTTAATAGGGAAAAAAAAAAGAAAATAATTTTGAAACTAGTTTCTGTGTCAAGGAACATAAATCCAATTTCCCCTAACAAGTAACTTCAGAGTAACCTGCTGCCTCATCTTAATGATCTCAGAAATCCTTTTGTTTTCCTTAGTAGGTAAGAACAGCATCAGTTTAAAGATGGCTTGTCAGACATTCTTCAGAAAAGTTCTTAGTTAAAAAGACCTGACCAAATCTCTCTATTTTTTCCCAACTATGTTTGTAGTACATCAAGATTGTCATCATGAGGCATTGGTACATATGTAATATGTCTTAATTCTTTTTATTTCCATTCTCCTTACTCCCCCCTCCCTCCACCTCTAGATTTCCTACCCATTTGTAAACAATCTGTCTCCTTGTTTCTTATCTTTTATTTTGCTCTTTGTATTACGAGTTTGGGTTTCTCATATAAGAAAAGCTATGTAATGTTTGAGCTTGTATGTCTGATTTATTTCACTTCACATTATGGCCTTAAGATGCATCTGTTTTCCTATAGATGACTCAAATTATCCTTCTTTATGGCAAAGTAGTACTCCATTATGTATAAATACATTTTCTTTATTAATCTGTTGCAAATCCCTACATCTTATAGCTACTCTGTTTTTAAAATTTGTCTAATAACTTGAATCCAAAATGTCTTTTTCAGAATTGCATTTTCATTGATCTTTTTACAGTCCAAAGTACCTGTAACAGGTAGTACTTTTGTGATACTAAAATACAAAGGTATTTGTAACTTAAGGATATCTAGGAAGAGGAGCAAATTTACCAGTACATTCACACCTACATATTTTTTCAACAAATAATTCAATATAGTAAGGTTATTAATATCCTAATCAAATTACTTTAACAATGTTTTGTGAGCAAATCATTATTTTAATGAAAACTTGCAGTAGATGCTTTTTCTCACTGCTTCTTCAAATTTGATATCTATAAATATTTAATAATCTCAATGTGTTAGTGATACGTTTCCATCATTTTTGTTGGTCAAGAATATTTCTGAGGTATTTGTGATAGGTTGGACTTTGGGACAGCACGTTGGACCACAGGTTCATTTACAAATGATGTGCTGTGCCTACCTTATCAAGTTTCATTTTCATGAAGTGTCAGCTTTGTGTGTAAAAGATAACTAAACACTAGTGTATTGAGAAGGACCCAGAAAAATAATGGAGAATTCAGTGGTGGGGTGGTCAGAGAGATCTTTTCTATTTTTGTTATGTAGTGCTGAAGAAAGGAGCTTCAAGTTCTCTTGCTGTAGACCCAGATTTGTAGCTGTGTGGCCTCGGGCTATATGATCTCTAAGCCCTAGAAATCTTTGCATATGTAAGATTTTTGTTTTTGCAGTAGCAAAGAAATAATATTGGCTAAGAAGGCAAAGGATATATATTTTTTTTTCTTGGTACTGGGGATTAAACTCAGGACCTTGTGCTTGTGAGGCACGTGGTGGCACCACTGAGCTAAATCCCTGCCCAGGACATTTTGTTAATACAGCAAAACAACTATGAAGATTCTAGAAAGACTGGTTATTTTTCTTCTACCTATACTTTTATTTTTTTTAAAAAAAGAAAGTTTATACATTACCTACCCGACAGAATCTTAGATTCTTATTTAAGGTGGACATCTTTCAACCACACCAGCCCCCACTTATGTGCCTTAGTTATGTCCTGACCTCTTCTCTAGGTACAGACCAAATACAAGAGGAAGTTAAGGGGACATGATAAAAGCTGGAGAATGGGAGTCTTAGCCGAGTCCTGTGTTTATAGGTTAATATGGGGTGTGTGATGTCCTAGGGAATATGGGAATAAGCTTAGGAGTGAAATTGACTTCCTAAATTAAATCTTAGCCTTCATGTCTGTAGCTATAAAATCTCAGGCAGATTATTGAAGATTGAGGGTTTTATTTTTAATCTGTTTAAAATGATGACAATAGCTATGTTATAGGATGCTTAAAAAGTTAATGAGATGATATCTGAAAAAGTGATGGCTGTGTTTCTATAGAGGTGTTCAATAAATAAATGCAATTTTACCACTTGAAACATTTGAAAATAAATTTTAAATTTATTGTAACTCTCCTATATAAATAAGTCTTTTTGAGGGACTAGTTCATGTGTTTCCAAGGTATTGAATAATAAGGTATTGACACGTACATGTTATTTTCTACTCAGTGGTGCTCATTGATGTTTAGCAAGTGCACATTTGTGCATGAAACACGTATTAACATACCCTAGGCCTATATAATCTAGAGTTAAACATACTACTGATGTAGGGGTGATTGGTACCCATACAGAAAGGATGCATTATATCAGCCTGACAAAACCACAAATTATGTTTGTGGATTTTGTCCTATAAGTTCCTTAATGTGCTAAAAATCAAATCAGTAGAACTCAGTTTTCTAGGATAAATTTGTTTGGTGATATGCTATAATTAATTGTTAATATTGTGCTCATTTATGGAATTAATTTGGTAGCATTACGCTATGGTCAAATATGGAATTATTTTATATATTTATATTACCAGAAGAAGTAATTCAACAAATCCAGAATAAAATTTGAGAAGATTAAAAATGAATATGCTTTGAATTTTTTAAAATAGATGTACATAGCTTGTAACGGTATGTTAAAAGGTAAGGCTAAATATGGGTATTGCATTTTTTGTGTTCATGTAAACCCAAGTCTCGCATGAGAATGATGTATAGAAAATGAATAAAAGTATAAATCTATAATATTTGGTTAACTCTTTTCTTACCAGTTTGTCACTCAAGCCCTACCAGAAAGTTGGTTTGAATTGGCTGGCATTGGTACATAAGCATGGACTTAATGGCATTTTGGCAGATGAAATGGTAAGTGTATTTCCATTACTCTGGGCTATCTTATTGTTACTGAAAGTCTTCCTTGCTGTCATTTAAAACATGACATCTTCCCTTGCCATTGTCATTTAAGCTGTTCTCATTTTAGCATTTACCTTGTGTCATCTGTGTGTGTGTGTGTGTGTTATTGAGCTACATCTCCAGACTTTTTTTGTGTGTGTGACAGATTCTCACTAAGTTGCCAAGGATGGGCTCAAACTTGCAGTTTTCCTTGCCTCAGCCTCCCATAGTGCTGGGATTACAGCCATGCATCCCTATACCCAGCTCACCCCTCTGTTTTCTGTTGACTCTTTTAGTTTTAGCCTTCTTTACTCTTCCCTAAAATGAAAATAGGTTTATTGCCTTTCTGATTATTAAGTTAATAAATATGTGTTGAAAATTAAATATTACATAAAAATAGGAAGAAGAAAATCGAAGCCACCCACAATCTTAAAAATAGTTTGATGTCTTTCTAGATCATTTTGTTGTGCAGGTATATGTATGTATACATGTATATATTTAAATATATATGTAATACTAAGTGACATTGTATTGCACATGTGCTTTTTTAATCTGCTTTTAAAATTTTAATGTAACAGATCCTGTCCTTTTTTTAAAATAAATTGTATATATGAGCAATATCATTCTAGCCATTTTATTATTAGTTTTCTTCAGAGTCTATTTTTTACCAAATCATATTTCTTAAAGCTAAGCTCACATGTTTGTTAGTGCTCAGTCCTTTAATCTAACACTAACTTCATCTTTACTTGTAAAAATATTTAAGTATGCCATGTTCAGTGGATAAATGTCTATTGACTACATGTTTTAAATTGTACTTTGGTTCCCCCCCCAAAAAAAGTAACAAAGATAACTACACTGGTTTTCTTGTTAACTCCTAGGAAAGTAGTTTTTAGCATTGTTAAGACATATTCCTACACTTACTTCATTCTCAATAAAACCAAGATGTTGTTCATATTTATCTAATAGAAAAGTAATACAGAATTTCAAAATACTTTATAGAAATGAGATACGGAATAAAGAGCATTGTAGTTGTATAACTGGACTTGAGAATCAGACCTAGGCTTTGAGTCCATTTAATCTTAATTGTCAGCCAGGCTGGATTAAGAAACTGCTGCATAGGTGATTGAATCATGAGGTGCCATACTTACTGGTGGATTAACCCACAATGTCCATAGCTGAATGTGCTGTTAGGAGGTGGGTCATTGCGGTGTAGCTTTGAGGCCACACCTTTCACTGATACTCTTCCCTTCTGCTCTGCTTACCCACTACTGTGAAGTAAGCACCTTTGCTCCACAGACACCTCTACCATGAAGTTTCTGTTTTATAGCCAGCTTACCTTGGACTGATGCTCTGAAGTCATGAACCAATTAAACCTCTCCTTCCTTAACTATGGGTGTCAGGTACTTGTTCTTGCTGTGGGAAAGGTAATCATAACCAGTCCCAGCTTCACCTTTCATCATTTGTCACATCCTTGCCAGATGATCTAATCTCTCAGAACTAGTATTAATAAAATATAGATCATTTTGGGCTGGGGATATAGCTCAGTGGTGCCGTACCTGCCTCATTAGTGTGAGGTCCTGAGTTCGATCCCCAGTACTGGGGGAAAAATACAGAAAGATAGATAGATAGATAGATAGATAGATAGGTAGGTAGGTAGGTAGAGGATTTCTATATCCTAAGATTGTGTCTGGTGTCATAAAAAAATAATGTGTGTGTGTGAGAGAGAAATTATTTGTGTTACCTGAAAAGCACTTTTTTTTTACCCCTTCGGGAATACTGGGAATTGAATCTAGGGCATTTGCAATAAACTATAATCCCAGTCCTCCCTCTCTGTTTCCCTCCCTCTCTCTTTTGCTCTCTCTCTTTCTTTGAGACAGTATCTTGCTGTGTCAGGTTATTCATACTGAGCGAAGAATTTGTATGTTCCTGCCTCAGCCTCCTAGAGTGCTAGGAGGGACCACCTGCCTTAAAGTGTATTATTTTTAAGTTGGCTTAGTCATTGAGGGATGTGGTAACAAAAATATCACAGACTGAATAAGCAGCAGAAATTTATTTTTTCTTGAATTTTCAATTTCTTGACCTTGAAATTTCAAGGTCAAGCTGCTGGGTGTTTTGGTTTCTTCTTATGAGGCCTCTCTCTTGCCTTGTAGACAGCCTGTTGTTTCATGTCCTCAAGTGTCATTTTCTCTGTGCACCCATCCCTGGTATTTCTCTTCTTGTCAGGATACCAGTCAGATTGAGTTAGGGTACCACCCCATTACCTTATCTAATTTCCTCAAGAGGCCCTTTTCCTAAAGCACAGTCACACTGCACACTGGAGCTTTAGTATTGAGAGACACACATTTCAGTCTATAGCAGGTAGGTAACATTTAGTCCCCCACGGATACTTGCCCTCAGCAGACTTTGCTTTTTTTTAAATTCCAATTTTGCTGAAGTCAAATTTGCTTATTGCAAAATGCATAAATATACACGTTAATGAATTTTTGCATGTATCCACCACCCAGAACAGCATTTCCATCATTCCAGAAGATTATATTCCTTTCCAACTATTATCCCCACCACTATTCTGACACCTATTACCAGAGATTTTTTTTTTTTTTGTAAGTATAGAGTAAATGCAGGATTTAGTATTTGGTTTTGATTCATTTGGTGCTGTATAGTATTAGAGATTTAGTGTGCTTCTTACACCTAGTACCAGATTTTTTTTTTTTTGTAAGTATAGAGTAAATGCAGGATTTAGTATTTGGTTTTGATTCATTTGGTGCTGTATAGTATTAGAGATTTAGTGTGCTTCTTACATGTATTGGTAGTCTTTCTTTTCTCATTACTGTGTAGTATGATAGTCCACACCACAGTTTATTCTTAAATTATGAAACTGCAGGGCTGGGGATTTATTTAGCTCAGTGGCACTGTGCCTGCCTCACAAGCACAAGTCCTGAGTTCAATCCCTGGTACCAAAAAAAGAGAATGAAATTGCAGCATGATAGAGTAGCCATATGTTTAACTCTAGGTAGTTATGGGTCGTAATGTTCAGTTCCTCCCTTGTGCGTTTAATGTTTGTCATATGTAAGCTATAAGTAAAAATAAGTTCTTTGTTATGCAATACAAAAATTCCTCTATATTAATGTGTGCTATGTATAAAACAGCAGTTCAGATTCATCCAGTGTGCTCATTAAAGTAAGTTACAGTGTCATTTGGAGATTGTAATCATTCTAGCTATCATTTGAGAATTGTGAATATAGTAGAAATTCTAAATTGAATTATGGGAAATCAAAAATGAATATAGCACAGAAATAATTCTTTTTTTTTTCTTTTAGGCTTTCAAAAATTATTTCTTACTTAAATTTTATGTATTATCTTTTGAACTTTTAATTTTAGGGTCTAGGCAAAACTATTCAAGCCATTGCATTCCTGGCATACCTCTACCAGGAAGGCAATAAAGGTCCTCATCTGATCGTGGTCCCAGCTTCAACTATAGGTTTGTAATAGTCGAGACAACTGTCTTTGACTTTATAGTGTTTTATGTAGGTAGAAGTGTGTGCATGTGTGTGTTTGCACACGTGTGTGTTTGTGAAGATGAATATTAATTTTTGTTGAACCCTTGTTTTTTCTCTTTGTATGTATGTACAATTTGTGCTTGATTATATTGGCAGTCTTTTTCAGAAAATAAATAGGATTCAATTATTCAGATAATGTTATAGATCATGAGCCTGATCAGATCATTTATTTTGATTGCATAGTACTTTAAAATTATTTTCAAGAGTAAGAGTAATCAAATAATTTTAACTTTATAAATACTTAGTTTATCTAAAAGTATGTAGATAATCTCTACTCAAATTACTTTTCTACAATTCCATTCTTTCTCAATTGATGTTGACTTGGGCTGAGAAAAATACCTGTGCATATGAATATAGAAGGAAAAATCTCTGGAAATAGAAAGTTAATAATCATAATAATTGGTTCTCTGCCCTTTGTCCCTCATTCTATAGCTCTTCAGAACCTAAAGGTCACTTTAATCACAAGGAATAAAAGCAAAGTCAATGTGTAATTTATATTTATAAAATGTTACAATGCGGTGTTTGACTTCATGAACAAAGGCTATGTAACAGACATGAGTCATCTGTCTTGTTTCACAGATAACTGGCTAAGGGAAGTTAACTTGTGGTGCCCTACTTTAAATGTGCTCTGTTACTACGGTAAGGCAGCATCATTTGGTTTAACTTGGGGCTGTCTTCACAATGAAAATACACAATAAATACAATCAGTGTGTGTATTGTTTTTAACTTCTAGGTTCTCAAGAAGAGCGTAAACAAATTAGATTTAACATTCATAATAAATATGAAGATTATAATGTAATTGTAACTACGTAAGTATTGGGAATGGGATAGTTACAGCTCCTAAATGCAACAAAAATATATATTGTATACAGACAAATATATATTCTATACATATCATTAATATTTAGGAAAGTTTGTGTTACGAATTGTGTACTAAAAGTAATGGAATGAGTTATGTTTTGGTGAAGGCAGTGTTTCATTGGCATGTCATGCCATTCTAGAGTGTTATTGCCAGTGTTTCAGCTCACCGTGCTTTTGCTTACTTTAACTGAAAGCATGGCGTCATAACAGGACTTCAGTTAAGCAGAAAGTATTTCGAGATGCCCCACAAAAATGGTTTATATTTCAAACTTATAAATACCTATTCATAATAAGTATAATGAAACCCATTTCTGAATGAAATATTTGAGTTAGCGTTAGAGCAGAATAGGTGTCAAAAATATAACTCAGAGCCAGGGATTTAGCTCGGTGGCGATGTGCCTGCTTCATAAGCACAAGGTCCTGAGTTCAATCCCCAGTACCACCAAAAAAATGTATATAGATATAGATAGGTATATATAGGTACATATAGATATAGATATAGATACAGATATATATAAATTGAGACTCTTAAACTGTTTTTGGTGGTCAACTGTGTGGTATAAATATCTGGTGCAGAATTTAAGGCTCTTATGCAGGGTGATCAAAAATAATGTGAATGTTTAAAAATGTATTTCACTCAGACACATCCCCATTGATTTCCCTCAGATTATTCCCTTTCAGTTCACATGAGCTTATCCTTTTGTTCTTGGCAATATGTCTCTTGCCATATAAAAAGCAATATTATAAGTTAAATATTTACTGTATTTTTTTTTATCTCTGCTGCATTTACTATATGGTTTATTTAAAGCTCTGTTCAACTGTTATTACGTTTCCCTTTTGCTTTCTTCTCTAAGAGTCCATCCTTGAAAGAATTCATCTAAAATTCATCTTAATAAAACATTCCATATATATAGTATTGAACTATTAACTGTTACTTCTCAGGTCTACTTCATTAGTTCATATTTTAAAACCAAACATGTTTTAGCTTTGTATTCTTTTTTCTGCTTTTTAAAATAAAGATACTGAATAGTATAACAGCACTAGATTTTTTGTGCGTTACACCCAACATGACCTCTTCCCATATATGTAGAAGTCTAATTATAACATTTTTTTCATTATGTATCATAGTTTTTATAACTTGGTTACTTGTACATCAATAATTGTTAGAATACATAAGTACAATAGTTATTTGAATACTAACCATGTCTAATGTTGTCCTCTAGGGACTAGCTACTAGAAATGTATAAATAAAAATGATTTTTTAAAAAAGTTTACATATCACTAGGCTTGAAACTCCTAACAGGTATAACCTTTAAGAGATGTTTCTTCTCTTGGTTTTCTTGATGACAGGTATAATTGCGCAATCAGCAGCTCTGATGACCGCAGTCTGTTTCGACGTCTGAAACTTAATTATGCAATTTTTGATGAGGGCCATATGCTAAAGAATATGGGCTCCATCCGCTACCAGCACCTTATGACAATTAATGTAAGAGTATGTTTTGTAAATTTTTCCAATCTGTGATAAAATTTTAGATTATGTAATTTTGATGTATATAGTATTTTATGTCTGGAGTCAGGAAACTTTTTTTGTATAAAGCCAGATAGTGAATATTTTAAACTTTGTGGGCCCTGTCATGTCATCTCTATCACATATTCTTTGTGGGTTTTTTTAACCATACTTTAAAAAGATTGTTACCTCTTAACTCATCACCCATGTGCCTCAGTTTATCAACCCTTGTTTAATGTGGTAAATAAATATCACATATAGTTTATCTTTCATCACTTTGTAAAAGTGATCCAAGGGCCCATGTTACCTACTTACACTATAAGACCAATAGTTTTAGCATTCCTCCATAATATAGTAAGTGATGATTGCAGACACCAAGTATCTAAATTCCTAGCTGATCATCACAGAATGTTAGATTATTAATAATGGTTTTAATTATCCTCCCCTCTCTTCCTTTACTTCTCCCTGGGCAAGATAGGCAAAAAGGGAATGTGTCTTAAAAATTTTTTTTAAAAAGTCTGGGCCAGGGATTTAGCTCAGTAGCACTGTGCCTGCCTCACAAGTGCAAGGTCCTGAGTTCGATCCCTGGTACCAAAAAAAAAAAAAAAAAACTAATGTAAATTTTATCTTCATTTATAGGCAAATAACCGATTACTGCTCACAGGCACACCTGTGCAGAATAATCTGTTAGAACTCATGTCACTGTTGAATTTTGTTATGCCACATATGTTTAGTAGTAGTACCAGTGAAATACGAAGAATGTTTTCTTCAAAGACCGTAAGCATACATACATGTTACTTTGTGTTTTAGTTGGGCAATTTTTCTGTTTGTCTTTGTTGTTCTCGTGGTGTACTTTACTTGCTCTATGAAATAAGTTAAATAGTTCATGTTCCTGTATTTGGATCAGTTCAGAAATCAGCCAATATATTATGCATAAAATGACTTCCTTAATGTCTAAAATTTGTAGATTTTTAATATCCTCATTTTCTGAAATATGACAACTTTAAATTGATGGAAAGTCAGATCTATGACATAGAGAAAGCTAGATCATGGCATCTTTGTGGTCAGGTAAATAGGTGGGGTAGAACTGAGCAAAGGTAGTATATCCAGAAAATATCTGTATGTTTTGAAGTAAAAGTTTATAAACACTTTTTTCAGTATACAAATGTTTGTATAAATTCTGACTCTCCCAGATCACCTTTTTAAAGAATTTTCCATGATTTTCTTTCACTACAGACTAACAACCAACCCCCAAAAAAAAAAAAAAAAAAAAAAAGAGCCAGGCATGGTGGCGCATGCCTGTAATCCCAGCACTTGGGAGGCTGAGGCAGGAGGATCACTGTGAGTTTGAAATCAGCCTGGGCTACTTAGTGAGTTCCAGGTCAGTCTCAACTACATAGTGAGACCCTGTCTCAAAAAACAAAACAAAACAAAAACACCTGGGAATCAAACCCAGGAGTACTGTAGCACTGAGCTGTATCCCCAGCACTTTTTATTATTTTGAGACAGGGTCTTGCTTAATTGCCCAGTGACTTCAAACTCCTGATCCTTCTGCCACAGTCTCTAGCATGGTTGGGATAACAGGCAAGCACCGCTGTGCCCATCTAATTGCTTTTGTTTGTTTGTTTGTGTGTGTGCTAGAGATTGAACTCAGGACCTCACTCTTTGCCCTTTCAACATTTCGTGAATTCTTTCCACTTAATGTCCAGTTTTTTAACTAGATGGGCAGACTTTATGTATAGAACTGTAGTACTTCCCTAGTTCCAGTTCCTAAAATGTGGAAGCCCTCCCCCCTCATGTCTTTGAATAAAATTTTACTTTTTAATTTTCCCAAATTAACAGTTTTTTAACATTTTGTTTTTGCAAATTGAGTTTTTGCAAAGTTTTGTCTAAGTACCAACCCATCTTAGTCTACATGATTTATATCAGGCATCCCTAAGTTTCTTTTGGGACCATTTTCCACAAAATTCCCTTACTCTTCTACATGCACAAACATTTTTATTTCATGAGGTCTGTTGACTTGGTTAATGGTTAGTTCTGAGCACCAGCCTCGTGTGGTTCTGATTCATTATCTCAGTATAGCACATGCGTCTGTATCTTGACAGCTCAAAGTAAGTGGACTGCAGCCCAGAATTCAAGCATGAATTTCTAGCTAGATTATAATCAAAAGATTTTCATTTTGTATAGTATCGTTATAATTTAAATGAATAATTTCTAAAAGGATGTTTTTATTTTGCTTAGAAACCAGCAGATGAGCAGAGTATATATGAAAAGGAGAGAATAGCACATGCAAAACAAATTATAAAGCCATTTATTCTCAGGAGAGTGAAGGAAGAGGTAACTATACACATGTTTTCGCTCATGATAATTTTTTAAAATTCTCCTTTTTATTAAAAATACCATCTTAAACTATTTTTCCCCTCTCAGGTTCTGAAGCAGTTGCCCCCCAAGAAAGATCAAATTGAGTTGTGTGCAATGTCAGAGAAGCAGGAGCAACTCTACTTGGGTCTTTTCAACAGATTAAAAAAATCTATCAATAACTTAGGTAAAAGTTGCCTTTCAGAATTTTGTGTAAGAAATAATCTTGTACTGGGGCTGCATTTTGTTTAGTCATATTTACTCATTTTAAAAAATAAGTTGGGATTTGAAGAAATAATTTTAGAACTTTAAAATATAGACACATTTCAAACCATTGCTAACAGCTTGAATATTCTGTTTAAATGTATCCTCTTTCAATCAGAGAAAAATACAGAAATGTGCAATGTCATGATGCAGCTGAGGAAAATGGCCAATCACCCTTTATTACATCGGCAGTATTACACAGCTGAGAAGCTCAAGGAAATGTCTCAGCTGATGCTAAAGGTAAGGTTGGCACTGTGCACTGGGGAGAGCAAGTGAGGCTGAGTTAGATGCTGAACCGCTGGGCATATTCATCCTTCAGCTTCATAATTACAAGCAGCTTTTTTTGCATTGCTGGGCATCAAACCTAGGGTCGCATTCATATTAGGCAGGCTCCATACAAACCACTGGGCAACACCTCCAGTGCCCAAAACAATTCTGTAAGACAAAGTTCAAGGTAATTTGAAGGACAGAGGGCCAAACAGACTTATAATCTAGATCAGAAGTCAGCAGTCTAGGTCTCTGAAGCAGTGACTGTTTATAAAATTAAGTTGTGCTGTAACACAGCCAAGCCCCAAGGCAGAGTCGTCACAACACACATCTCACCAGCAAAGCCTAACATGTTTGTGCTTTCGCTCTCCACAGGAGAGATTTCTTATTTCCTGACTAGACTTCCATAATTTTTTAGAATTCCAAAATGTCCTTATTAGTGACACGCAGCTGTATCCCTTTTCTTTCTTCTTTATTGTACTTGCCTTCTTAGTTTACTCTTATTTTTTGCCTCATTGTCCTTTAGCTCTTGATCCTTATTTTGTATTATAGATCTTTGCATTCAGTGCATTGTTCATTGTTTTAATTTTTGTTGGTTATTTTAAACTTTTTAAGGAGAACTTCAAACGTGTAAAAATAAAGAAAATTACATAATGAAACCCTCTGCTTATGTAATCTTCATCCACTTTCACACTCAATATTGATACTGTTTCATCTCTACCCCTAGGGCCCTTCCCCAGGATTATTTTGAGCCAAATTCTAGATACTGTTTCATCTGTAACTATTCGGTATGCTAGCTCTATAATAGTAAGAATTCCTTCCCTTTATTACATCTCAAATATTAATTTCCTTTGCTAAATCTGTTACACTAAAGTGTGCAGTGAACTAGATGTTTTTTCAGATGTGATTAAATTGTTCTGACCATATTACAAATTATTGTCATCTTGGCGTGTATTGTGTTTGTATTAAAAAGGAACCTACACACTGTGAGGCCAACCCCGACCTGATTTTTGAAGACATGGAAGTCATGACAGATTTTGAACTGCACGTCCTTTGTAAACAGTACCGGCACATTAACAACTTCCAGTTAGACATGGACTTGATTTTGGATTCTGGGAAATTCCGAACTTTAGGATGCCTCTTGTCTGAACTGAAACAGAAGGTATTAAAAAAGAATGTACTTATTTTCTTTAATTAAACCGGACAGCAGTGCTGGCATGCTTTGACACTCTAAGAGCTTTCATCTCTGTTCTCCATTCTTCTAGAACCTAGTATTCTAAACATTTTCTTGACATATTTGGGTGTACGTTTTCCTAATTACTTCTTTTCCTCTCTGGGGAACTTCAGAGAGAAGGATAAATGTAGACCGCATCTATACTGATGTTTTTAAAAATAAATTTCAGGTGTCACTTCATAGATGGTCATTTGTGTGATTATTTCAAAATTAGAATTTTGAAGATGCCATTTGCTGTTTAGTAAGGCTGTAGTTTCTGTGTAAAACAGCTTAGATTTGTAAGATCAGCAGCTAAATAATATTTATGCAGTTATTGGTGGCATTTTCTGTTATGAAAAGGAAATATTTGTCCCTAAAATGAAAACTGAGCTCTTACATTTAGAATTTAAGGTGATTTATTCATATATATATGCTAAAACAAGAAATTTATTTTTTATTTATTAAATATGAACACTTAATCATTAGGTAACTTTTTCACAGGGAATTTTCTGCAGTCGCCTCCTTGATGTAATATTCCTGCTCATTCAGATGTGTCAGGACCTTGAGCAGTGTGATGATTTTGTTCTCCATCTCTGATCCGTGTGTTGTTTTCACAGGGCGACAGAGTTGTATTATTCAGCCAGTTTACCATGATGCTGGACATTTTAGAGGTTCTCCTAAAACATCATCAGCATCGGTACCTCAGATTAGACGGGAAGACTCAGATATCTGAAAGGTATGCTTCTGATTAGATTCAGAACATAAATCATGTATAGCATGTTTTAGAATTTTAAATATCTAGAGCATTTGATAGACTTTTTTTTTGCTTTCACTCTTATGTATAGATATTGAAAATCATGCTTTACCTGAGATACATTTTCTTTTTAATTTTTCTTCTGACTTGCACATGAGTATACTTTTGATTTTTATCTTTTGTGTGTGTGTGTGTACCGGGGATCAAACTCAGGTCCTTACGCTTGCAAGGCAGGCACCAGAACCACTGAGCTAAATCCCTGGCATGAGTATACTTTTGGAATAAGTAAGAGAATTATGTAGAGTTTTCTCTTTAAAAACTCATGTAGGGTTTAGAGGGTCTTCTCTCTCTCTCTCCCTCTCTCTCTCTTTTTTTTTTTTTTTTTTTTGGTACCAGGGATTGAACTCGGGATTTTGCGCTTGCGAGGCAGGCAGCGGAACCACTGAGCTAAATTCCTGGCCCTTCCTGTTTTCTTTTTTTTTTTTTGTAGTGTCTTCTCAGTTTTAAGATTACTTTTGTTTTTAATTTTTAAAGAAGTTTTTTAAAAGAATGCTTTTAAATTAGTGATACCGGATTTATTTTTATCAGCCAGAAAGACATTCTTTTTCTGCATTAGAGCCAGGGCGACATCATGCCAAGGAGCTCTCACTGATATGAGTGGATCTTGTGGTCCCAGCTTATTCAGATACATTGTTCACCAGTAGTGGCTAACACACTTTCAAGATTAAAGATTGCATGTGTAGTATTTGGATGAATTAAATGATCATAGGACAAAATTAAATCTGAATGGTTTGATTAAATAGTAACAGTAAGAGTGATAGTTGAATTAAAGTAATAGTTAATTGTCAGAGAAATAAAAAAAGAGTTGGTAAGTTGGGAAGATTTGTCAGTAATGGAGCTGCAGGCAAAGTTAACTCTTAATTCCAGAATTGCCTGTTTACATTTTCAGGTCTCTTTCCCGTGTGATGTGATTGCTTTTGATTTTAACTACATTGTATACTTCTTAGTGACATTTAACCTAACATATTTATCTTCTAGGATTCATCTCATTGATGAATTTAATACCGACATGGATATTTTTGTGTTTCTATTGTCAACCAAAGCTGGTGGATTAGGAATAAATCTGACTTCAGCAAATGTGGTTATACTTCACGATATTGACTGCAACCCTTATAATGACAAACAAGCAGAAGATAGATGCCATAGAGTAGGCCAAACTAAGTAAGTATTTTCCGCTGGAATGTACTTGTATTATTTCAGGTCTTTGAAACAGGATTTCACCATATATTTGAGGCTGGCTTTGAATGTACTGTGTGGCTCAGGCTGGCCTTGAACTCATGATAATCCTCCAGTAACTCCCAAGTACAAGTATATATGCCACTACACCTGGCTGAGTTGAAATTTATTTTAACGCTACATACTTACTAGGTTTAGAAGCTGGCCCTGGTGACACCCTGGGGAGGCTGGCATTTTTTTTTTTTTTAATGTAATTTCTCTTAACACACAGAACTACTGTTTCATCTGTAAATTTTATTTATTTATTTTTGGGTTTTTGAGGTAGAGCCTCGCTGTGTATTTCAGGCCGGCCTTGAACTTGGGTGATTCTCCTGCCTCGGCCTCCTGAGTCCTGGGACTGCAGGTGTGCGCCATCATGCCTGGCGTATCTGTAATTTTTAAAGTAATTATGTTTCTCCTCTCAGGTCAGTAGGAAGGGATCTCATAAACTGCTCAGAAAAATGTAAAAGATTTAAATTTAAGGATAGGTTTTAGCATACTGTTCAGTTTACTCTTTTTAACTCTCCAATGTACTTCACATGTGTCAAATAAGCTTAGTAACCAATGGACATTTCTTGTATTTGTTTTAGAGAAGTACTAGTTATAAAATTAATAAGCCAAGGGACAATTGAAGAGTCCATGCTAAAAATTAATCAACAGAAATTGAAACTAGAACAAGATATGACCACAGCAGATGAAGGTAAGCTACCTGTAAGCGGAAACATCAGAATTTATTAAACTGTGAATCCGTCATTTCAAGGGCAGCACATAGTGGCCCAAGCTCTTCACTGGTGTACTTGTTTCAGAGGATGGTGGAACAGTAAACACACTCAGCTCAGTCACTAAGATCAGTTTTGCCTGACTTGATGTGAACACTTTGATTTGGGAAAATTTTGTCTCATCCATCCTTTATCTTATTTCTATCATGAAAATACCACAGAAATAAAATTATGTTTGGATAATACAGTTTTATCCACAGTGTTATAATTTGTTAGCTATGAACCCAAAGGTTTGAAGCATATGAAATACTTTTTAGTGGCATAGTTAGAACCCCAACATTTACATTTGCATTTACATTTAGTGGCATACAGAACCCCAACATTTACATTAATTTCATTTGACTAGTAAATACTGAAAGAGCAATAACACATGTATTTTTGAAAATTTAGTAATTTCAGCTCTGCAGATTGAAGCACTTGGGCTCTAGAAAGGACCCTCAAATAAAGGACTCCCCTTCATTCCACCCCGTTGAAAGACAGTTTTAGGTTTTGTAAAGTTTAACTTTGTATTATTTAAATATTCGCTAGTTCCAGGGTAAAAAGAGCCCCTTCCTGCGCTGGCACCCTGCCCCTCTGTACAGCTAATGCTGGTAGCCTGTGAATGGATGCTCCTGAGAAACACCGGGAGTGGGGCTCCGTGGTCAGCATTTAACAGGCCTGCGGGTGCTGCTGCTTCGAAAGGAAGATTGTGGGTTTTTTTTAAAGGACTAATTTAATTATTAAATGTCTTTTTTACACAAGAAATGTTGAAATTGTACAGTGAATGGAAGTATGATGCTTTTAACAGTTGTGATATTGGCAGTGCTTGTGTTGTCATCCACTTTTTCTGTCTTCTGAACCATTAGTGTAAACATCGCAATGCATTTTCAGAATTTCCTCTCTCCAAGAAAATTAAGTTGCCGGGTGTGGTGGCGCACACCTGTAATCCCAGCACTCGGGAGGCTGAGGAAGGAGGATCACTGTGAGTTCGAGACCAGCCTGGGCTACACAGTGAGTTCCAGGTCAGTCTCAACTACATAGTGAGACCCTATCTCAAAAAAACCAAAGAAAAGAAAAGAAAAAGAAAATTAACAGTGATTTCCAGATACTGTATTTTCTCCATATTCAAATTTCTCCCTATTGTCCTTTTAATGTCTTTCATAGTATTTCTGAAACCACACTTTGCATATCATTTTATTACGTCTTTAGTATGTTTAGGTTTAGTAGAATCTCTTTACTCTTTCTCTGCATGAAAGTACTCCTGTAATTCAGATTGGAACAGGAGCGTACACTTGAGAGAGAAGTGATTAGTTGTGCTGCATTTTAGCCCCATCTGTTTTATAAAATTAATCATAGTTTAAAGGTGTAAATCATATCAGCAAGGATTTGTGAATTGGCAGTTGTGACATTTTCATTAACCAGCAAATAATAAATCAGAAACATCCTGAGTACTTGACTGAATTAATCAGGGATGGGTGGATTCTAAGCGATTTGTTCTGTAAGTGTCTAAATACTAGGGTCCATTGTAATTATGGGCATCCACTGGATAAACAAAAAGCAATTTATGTTAGTTAATAACCCTCAGTTGGTGCATTGTGCTCAGAATTTTGTGTGTGGAATGGTCTGAGTTAGTGTTGTGTACTATTCATATTTATACCTTTCCTCATTGTCTTTTTAATGTCTTTTACAGGTTTATTTTAACCATAGTTTGTTTGTTTGCTTTTTGGTACCTGGGATCAAACTTGGGACCCTGCATTTGTGAGGCAGGTGGCAGCACTACTGATCTAAATCCCCGGCCCTTAATCATACTTTTTATGAAAAAAATAAGAGTATGAATTAAATTTTTGGTTTACTTGGGATTTAAGGGCTTTGTTATTTTTTCTTCTTCACTGACTCTAACATAAATATTTTGCATTTATCTAGAAAATAGGAAAAGTACCACTCGCTATGTAAATTAGACACCATCCAGACTGTCTGTGTGTGTTTGTCAGATCAGAATCCTGGCCCTAGGTGAAGATACTGGCAGCATGTACAGAGAAAGTAGTCCTGGTTACATTTTCAGGGGTCACAGAAGGTTTCTAGTGGGATACTGAAGTAAACTGGACCTTGAGAAATGAACAGGACTTCACAAAGAAAGAGCAGTTAGGAGATTGTATTTTATGAGCTGTTTTATGAAACTCTTAATACCACTGTGATCTGCAGGTGACGAGGGGACCATGCCAGCAGATATAGCCACGTTACTGAAGACGTCAATGGGCCTGTGACGGAGCGTGATGGGTTCCTGACTGATGAGGAGATCTCAACTTGGTGCACTCAAGGACATTTACATCATGACGACCATGGGGTTTATGAACATTTGTAACTTTTTATAATTTCCATATTGCATTTCTCATAGTATGGACAACTTTTTGCCACTAACTGAACTCTCCAGATGCTCACATGAAATTTCCTAAGAAGCCACAAATAGGTAGTCCTGAAGATGTTGAATAATCATTTTACAACAGTTTTCTGAATGGGGATTAGTTGGTGATTGTTTGTAACAAATATGCTAATGCTTTAGAAATGTCAGTATTTTTGTAATTATTTCTACCTCCAAATATATATATTGTCTTTCACTGGATAACGTGTGTAGATTTTTACATGTGCCTTATTTGACAATGCTTATGTCTTGTTTTTGCTTGTCTCATTTGAAGTTCTTTTTTCCTGTGTTTAAAAAGTGCAGCTGGATAGGTTTGTAGCTTTCATTTTGTTGCTATTTGAAGCAGATGTTCACCAATGTCAGCAAGAACTCAACCTGAATCTAAAGGTGGCATTCCATATTCTAACATCCCCCAGGTCCTCTCCATACTTTGGTTAAAACGAGTTTGTTTGGCACTAAGTTGTTTCCCAGTGAATAGTAACTAAAGAAGCCCTTCCCTTGCTCCATGGCCTCCTTCTGTTCCTTCCCCTACTGCACTGTTGTGGTCGTTCCTTCTGCCTACTCTTGTGCATGTTTTCATTGCTTTCCTCCTGCCTTTTGCTTCTCTTGAAACTGCTGCCAGGTCACTCCTGCTCCAGCTCTCTTCCTCTGAGTACTTTCTTCTTGCCACACCCATTTATCCGCCAAATATTGGCAACACTTTTTTAGTTTATCAGACCAAGTTACTTAAAGCTGTCTGACTCAAGGGCAGACTGGATGTGACTTCACATTGAGGCAGCATTGGGTACTGTGTGGAAATAGGTCATTAACTTTATAAACTCTTATCAAAAAACGTAACTTAGCAGTTTCCAGAATTTCCAGTTTAAAACCGCCCGAAGAGAGAGCCATTGTTCAATTCCAATTCAGTGTGAGTGACAAGGTAAAATTTAGAAGTAAAGTTGTCTATTTGCTATTGAACTCTTTGTTATATCTTCCTTTAAATTTTTGTCTGTCAGTCTATATTGCTGTTTTTATTATGCATCAGTTTCTTTGTATAACTTGTGAGTTTCATGTGTTTTTTTATTATGTAAATATCATTATAAATAAACTTATTTATAAATCAAAGATTTGTTAATTATTGGAGATCACACTTTTAAAGACGCTGAACCTGCCACGATGCTAAATAAGTAAACCCTCTGGATTTAGAAAGCAAATGAAGCTCTTAGAGTGATTCTTTAGATGTTACAGGCTCAGAAAACACAGTTCAGTAGGTTTATGGAAGTATATCGAATATACTGAATATATTTTAGCATTATAGGGCTAAAAAGGATCTTCAAACATTAATACTACCTCCTTCAATATCACAGTACCCAAATCACTTAGATTGTTGGGAATATTACCTTCTAAAGTCTTAACAGTAGATTTTTCATAACTTTTCTGTATTAATGTTTATCTTCAGTGATAGGCTGTTTTTTATTGTTATTGTTATATTTTTATCTCTAATATAGTTAGGTTATTCCTGTAATGCTTTATTATGTGGTGGGCTTAATAAAACTATTTGTGATCGTAAATTGTATTTTCACACCCCGTTTAAAAGTTTTTAACCCTCCTTTTTACCTTTAAATATATATTATGTTCCACACAAGTGAGATCATCTCATGTTCTCAGTGTTGTCTGTTTTTCAATAAATCATGATTTATTACTTAGGATGTATTCTCATTTGTCCCTCCATTGGGCTGACGTCAGTAAACAATGATTATCCATAAAAAGCAAAAGGATGCACAGTTGTTAGAGTAATGACCAACCAAAGTAACATTTTTTGAGAAATGCAGGTCCCCCTGGAATGGAAGTGTATCTAATGTGTTTTCATACCCATTCAGGGCTCCATAGAATGGTACTTTCATGCCAGTAGGTGGATTAAAATGTGGACTTCTGTTGGTGTTGCTAGGAACATCACTAGCAGTTTGTGTTAGTCATATATAGTGGGAAGATAGGGTGTCCTGTGATTTGCCATTTGTGTGACTCTTCACTGATCCATAAAATTAAGGAATTCATTTAACGCTTTCCAAAATACATGTTTTTTCCTGATTATAAATATCTAGACTCTTAATTCATACCCCCCTGCATTTTTCTCTGTAAGGAGATACTTTGAATACAGGATAGAATATGTTGATAACCTAAGGTTTACAATAATGTTTCCTTATGGAACTACTGTTGCATTTTATTCTTGAATTATAAATTATGTATACACTTAATTTTTATACTTTTGCATGAGCATTGTATTTAGTTACACTGAATTTGTTACCTACTGAAGCTAGTCCGAGTGTAATAACAGGAGCATGAGCTTTCAGAAGTTATTACCATTATTATCTAGAGAAGAGGTCATGAACCATGGTACAAGTGCAACTGGACTATTAGCACGGAAAGCTCTAAAAAGCATCACTAACTTGGAGTATTTGGATTTTCTATGGTTAAAGATTTTCCTTTAGATCAATTACATGCTACCAGGCTCTATCAGGATTTCCTTTTTTGTCAATAGCCCGAATAAAAATTTCATCCAAAAAGTCAAGGTACTTGAGAAATAAGTTTTATGTGTAATAATTTATGACAGATTTAGCACGTCTTTTTTTTAAGTAATTTTACATTATTGGGAGTAAAGAAGCACCTTAAATAGATCGTGTCTAGCTGGACTTCTCTGTTCTCTTTTTCCTTTGTGCTTTCAGGTGTAGTGCTGCCTTTCTATTTTGTGGCATAATTAACTTTTTTAGTATTAGGCAAGGTAAACTTCGATGTTCCTGTAATAGTTTAAAATGGATTCCTAGAGGAAGATGTATTTTGTTATATGAAAGATTCTATTTAAATGGTTGGATTGTATAGGCGGTTATTTCCATGGCAGTGTGGAACTGTAAAAATGACTGCAAGTTGAAATTGTGCAAACATTAGAAATTATTGGAAAAAATTATTATCTTACGATTTCTGTCAACACATTAAAATTTTTCCTATGGTTGTAATGAATGTATAAGTAAATGAAAAACGCACTTAATACCCTGTAAGACATTAAAAATGTTGAGTATTTTGTCAGTACCATCCCCATATAACTTAAATTTAGCAAGAATTGAGAATCAGTCCTCCAAATTCTGTTTTGTTTTATCTTGTGGGGTAAGGGTGTGTTTTGTTTCAATAGATCGCTAAGGCTTGGGTCTGGAATGTCCCACAAAGTTTCACAGGCTTGGTCACCAGTCTGTGGCAACACAGAGGTTGTGGAGGAAAGAAGTCAGCAGTCCATCCTGTTGTGTGTGCAGGGAGGGCCCTGAGGCTGTCTTTGAAAGGAAGACAGAGACCCTGCCCTCCTCTCTTCTGCTCTGCCATATGGCCAAACAGGACCAACTGAGTGTGAACTTCAACCTAGGGAACCATGAGCCAAAGTAAATCCTTTTAAGTTGAGTTTTCTTGGGAACTTTCTCACAACAGAAAAACTAATACAGGAAATTGGTACAGGGAAATAGGGTCATTTCTCTGACTCCCTGACAGTTTCAGAAGCCTTTGGACTTGGCTGGAAAAGGTTTGGAGGAGCAGGCCGAAAACAAAGTTTAACAAGAGTGCAGAAGACCAAATCGTGGAGAGTAGAGGGAAGGCTCAGAGGAGTTCATGAGTCTAGGGAACTGGACTAGAGGTCACTCAGTGCATTCTGGGAAAGAAGTCTGATTTGCCCTGAGACTGCCAGAGGTTGAGCTTAAAGGTAACAGTGGTTTATCTGGCAAAGGAAACATGAGAGCAGTGCAGCCTTCAGGGTGTGGTAAAGGTGTTACACACTGGCTGCGTCTGACCAAATGCACTATGAGAATCAGGGGGAACAAAAGCCTGGCAGAAGTTTATGAAAAACCTGCAATTTTCCCAGAAAAGGGGCATGTTCAAAGTGGCAGCCAAGGGAAGTATGGAAATTCGTACCCTAAAAAGAAGCTAAGAGCCAGGTGTGGTGGCGCACACCTGTAATCCCTGCACTTGGGAGGCTGAGGCAAGAGAATCACTGTGAGTTCGAGACCAGCCTGGGCTGCATAGTGAGTTCCAGGTCAACTATCTGTCTCAAAACGAACAAACAAAAAAAGCTAAGTGGTGGCTAGAGTAGCTCAGTGGTAGAGCGCTTGTAAGCCGAGGCACTGAGCTTCATCACCAGCACAGCAAAATAAGGAAACTATGTATTTTGAACCCAAAAATAAGGTGCCCTGAAAGCACCTCAAGAACCATCTGGGCTCCACTCAAAAATGTCAAGAGGTAAGAATTAAAGTTATGTCAAAGATTTGCTTTGAGAGAAGTCCTCCTGGTGGCCCTGCTCCCACAGGGCCACCTAGGGAGTTGTCTCCTGGGATTCAGTCTCCAGCAGACCGGGCACTGAAGCTCTGCAGCCCGGGTTCATGTGGGCAGCACACCGGGCCATGGTCCACATGATGATGATCTTGCAGGTATGCAGAATGTAGGAACTGTGGATGTCACAGAGGCTTCCACTGAGATGTTACAAGAAAGATGTCCCAGGCAGTGTGCGGCAGCACATGAGCTGTGAGAGTAAAACTGACACTTCAGTGGAGTGCCAAGGGAGTTAAAGATGCCAGGAATGCGGGACACCTGCAGAGCAAATGTGTAAGCCCCTGGAGAGGCCATGTGAGCTACAGCCAAAGGGTTCTCGAGCAGCCCTCAGGATGCTTTGGAGTTCACAACACAGGCCCCAGATGCCAGGTGTACAGCTGGAAGATTTGATGTTTGCTCTGCTGACTTTCAGTTTAGCCTGATTCCTCCTTATTTTTCCCTTCCTCCTTTGAGGAATGGGAATATCCATTGTTTCATAAAAAATATGTAACTTTTATTTCTTTCACAGGCACTAACCACTGGGTTTGCCTTGAGTCTCAGAGGAGACTCTGGATTTGGACTTTTGAGCAAAACAGAATAGTTGCCACTTGGGATGCTCTTAGAGACAGACTAAATGCACTTTACATTATGAGGTGAACATGAACCTTAGGGGCCAGGGCAGAATACAACAGATTGGACCTAGACTGGTCCCCAAAAGCTCGTGTGTAAAGGCCAGCCTTTGGCACCACTGGAAGCCAGTGGGAGGTGAGGGCCAGTGGAGGAGGTCCCTGGGCCAGATGCATGAAGAGGATACTGGGATACCGCCCCACCTCCTCTCCTCTTCCCTCTTTTCCTCCTTCTCTCCCTTACTCCATCCTTTCTGGCCACCGTGAGGGGAGCAGGCTCACTCTACCAAACGCTCTCTAGCCAGATATTTTGCCTCACCACAAGCCCACAAACAATCCAGCCAATAAATCTTCCTTTTTACACTGGGGTGTGTTGTTGTTGTTGTTTTGTCATGGTAATGGATAGCTGGCTTGCTGTTGTTTGTCTGTTTGTTGTCCTACATTTACTCTGGTTCTGAAGCTCGGATCGGGAGGGTGAGGCACTGAATCACCAGGCAGACTCCGGGGAGGTTTCTGGAACACTTCCGTTTTTTAATAGAGCAATCGTTTATATAATCAAGGAGCAAGGGGAGGGACACCTTATGCTGGGCATAACATGATTAGCTGATGCTCTCATATTTCTATATAAGGTGATCTTTTGGGTGAGCAATGGAGGCAGTGAATAGGAGGAACGGGACATCCCTCAGCTGGTTCTAAGCCAGTCTCAACGCATGAGAGTGAGCATGCTCAAACTCCTGAGTGTTCCCTAGCATGCTAGATGTGTGTGGCACACAGGGTTCAGCTATGCTTGAATCTCTCTCACACTGGTTTAACACACAGATTTGATTTCTTAGAGCAATTTTAGTTGACAGCAAAGTGGAGGAGCGACATCTCATTCCCCCAATTCCCATACAGCACAGCCTCCCCTCCTGCGTCACCATCCTGTGCTTGCATGGTTTGTGATTGGTGAAGCTACACTGACACATCACTTAACACCCAAAGTCCATGGTTACAGCAGAACTGACTTTCGTGTTGTACATTCCATTAATTTTAAATGTGTAATTAATACAGGAAATAATACTGGAAATAAAGAATGAACTATGATATCTCCCAACCTGTTAGCTGTATGATGCATTGAGTACTTGTTCTCTAGATATTAAAAAAGTGACTTATCGGAGCAACAGAGGCTAAGAGTAGGAAGATATTTATTGATAGGAAAGCTCCTGAAGGGCAGGAGGGATCCTGAATGGGTAGCCAGGGACCCCACTCTACAGAGGAGTTTTCTAGGTGAAACCCATGTGGGTACAATGTGGGCCACAGCCATGATCACCCAATAAGGTTACAAGTATGGTCATGTAGGTTGTGGTGGTCCAGTTGAGAACTCACAGAACAAGCATGGATGGGAAGAACAAAGATTCTCCTAGGAAGTGTTGGGTCCGGAGGTCTCTGGTCACCCACCAGGGTGACTGATGTCTATTTAGACTTGATTCAGCCTGTGTTTGTTCTCTGAGGAAGTATTCAGGCCTGGTCATCTTGTCTTTATTTTAAGGCCTGGTTTCCAACAGATACGTCTTTGGTGGCAACTGTTCTGTGTTTCACTGCTGTTCTGACCCTCTGGAGGACCTAGTCCTATCTG